ACATTGAACAGCTGGCCTGTGCTGCTGTCGCATTCATGCTGTGGACCAGGTAACTAGCATGTGGCTTTACCTCTGAAGTCAATGATGACAATTTACAATAGGAACTATGAACTGGTCAGGCTGAAGTGTGGGGACATAAAACTTGACAGGACCACTGTGGATAACATGTTCCTGAAGTACCTTTGAGGTGAGGAACGATTGCTCACCATCAATGACCTTGGTGTGTACTTTGAGGTGCACCTGAGGAATCAAAAGGGGTGGCAGAGAAAGTTGGACAAAGGGATGAGGGAAATTGACTTATGAAGTACATTCAATCCCATCTTCATGATGTGGCACTACCTCACATCTGATGTCCATTTTCAATGGCATGTATCCATAGGTAATCACTACAAGGTTTATCCATGCCCAGATATGGGCAAAGCATGTGATGTCTTCATGCACCTGGTTTTCTGGATGAGATGGACTGAGATTGTCCATCTTGGTCAACCAATGGCCAACAACAACTTCCTCTTTCCCACCATTGGTGCGAATGGGGTACTGCAGCCAGGTGAACCACTCTCCCATGATATGGTTCAGAAGTGGATTGATGAGGGAGTGGCAGGTGCTGGGATTCCTGGAACATTCTCCATGCATTGCTACTGTTGGGGAGGAGTGCAATACAGGTTCATGTATGCCCCAGTGGGGCAGTGATGGACCCTTGCATGTGTCTGATGGTGGGGGGGGTGGACCAAAGGTGAACATGTGAGTCTTGTGTTCTTTCCTATCTGGGTGTGTTGGAGTGAACTGGTGCTTCTCACATTGTCCTTGACACCACACACACAGCGCAATACACTGATGCATTACCTGCTCAACGAACTTCTTTGCTATGAAACCAACCACAGTGATGCCCTGGGCCTGATCTCACAGGAAGCTGAGGACTCACTGTGAGTCAAAGTGTGGTTCAGTGGTGAAAACCAACCAAAACCAACACAAAAGACAAAAGGAGCAAGTTGTGGTGTGCCTATGTGGTACCTAGATGGTAGAACCTTTGATTTGGGTGGTTTTTTTGCAAGTTACAACACTCAAGGATGAGTGCTGAGCGTTGGGGGTGCTCCTGACAAAGAGGGAGCAAGAATGCGATAGAAAGCAATAGGGTAGACTGCTGTCAGCCTATAGAAGGATGGATGGCGGCTTAATTCAATGTCCTAAGCTGCACTGAGCTCAGGGAGAGCTTGGAGTGAAGTATATTGATGATAGACAAGGATGAGCGAAGTAGATGATAGTTAGACCCTTAATAAAGTCTCAACTATCAATGCTGCTGAATGAATTACTGAGTGATGATAAAATGTGAGCAAGAGGGGCTCTCTGATGTCTTCTTTTTTTTTTTGCTATCTAAGTACAGTGATTTATATACAGTACAGGGGTGTTGCCCTTGGAAAACAAGGTGCAAACACTTGGTAAGTGATTGGTAACTGATGAGTAAGGAATGTAAGCAATGGGTAATCATCTTGGAAAGCACTGGTAAGCATTGGTAAGGATTAGCAAGCCAAAAAGCAAAGAATCAGTAAGCAAAGTCAAAAGATCAGTAAGTATTGGCAATAGGTGAGTCAAAGACAGTCAGAATGTCAAAGTATGAGTCAAGTAATGTCAGGAACTGGGAAAGTGCACTGGAATTGCATTAGGGGGAGGCTGTGCATGTCACATCTCAAAGAGATCACTTCTAGGCCAAGGTGGGATGACAGAGGCAGCACTGATCTGATGCCAATATAGTACATCCAAAAGTGGACAGGGTGAATCAGATGTCAACAGGGGTCAAGCTTTGGGGGTCTGTGGGGTGACAGGAGCATAGGGGATCACAACCTTCCCCCCCAAACCATCCTCTCAGTGAAGCAAATAAAAACTTCATGAACAAGGCTCTGTTGGAAGAGAGGATGAATGGGGAGTGTCTTCTGCTGTATCTTGCAACAAGGAGGCAAGATGTGCATCATACTCATCATGGATGTGATCAGGGAGAGTGGGGAACAGTAGATTATACTGTAGCTGTCACAATCTTGGAAGAATGATGGACAAGACTGGTATGAAGACATTGCAGGGAGCAGGGAGGAAGGATCCATATGCTTCTTGGACTGGAGAGACTGAAACGACCACATAAGACCTTTCCAAGTGAATGACAGACCTGAGGCAACCAAAGAATGTCCTCCTAGAGGTCATACTGACAAAAAGAATGTGCTGTCCAAGATGGATGGGCTGAGAGGGCACAGATGAGGGTGGGATGTACCAGGATGCTTCAGGATGGAAGCTGGTAGGAACTCCTGGTAGATATATGTAGCCATGGTCCCTAGCAAAGGGGACAAGTGAAATGATTGATGTAGAGGCAGCCATATCAGAAGAAGTTAGTGAAATGAGCATCTTTTGGAGGGAGTGCTGTAGAAATGTGTGGAGTGCACAAATCCTTTCCAATTTTGGAAGGTAAGATTGCGTGGCTGAGCACTACAAGTGAGTGTGGGAATGGTCTCTGTATCTGCAGAAACAGCAGAGATATGTCAAAAACTGGAATGCCATACACAGGTGCTTAAGAATTTTAGCCAGCATTAACTCACTCCCTTTCTTTTTCTCTGGCACTGATGACTTGTTCTTGTGCGAGGGATGACTGCTGACATTTCTGGCTCTCCATCTTTGCATGAGGGCTATGGTCTTCATCTCCATTCATCAGCTGTATCCATGTCCACCTCACCAAACACCTTTGGTGTGTGACATTGCTTGCTGGTGAAGCTGCACTCATCTGGCCAGCATCTACAGAAGCACTCCACATGGCCCATGCAGCACTAACAGCAGATGTCACAGCACTGTACTCAACAGTGAAAAAAATGTCTCATTCACAAGCAGTGATGTCAGCAGATGTAAGGGAGATTTGCCAAAAGCTGGGTGACGTGAGCAACATAGTCACAGCACTGGCCTTGACATCCACTGCCTCTGGTGCATACTCATATTCTGCACCAATGGTGCCATGTCAGGGCACTGGTGATGCTGCGACAGATGGTGAGTCCATTCCATTCCTCACTGTCACCACATGAAGGCCAAACTAAAATCTGCAACAGCCCACCAATGTCAACACCATCAACACTCATCCACAGAGTATCAGAGCACTGTCTTGCCACCTCCAACAGTTCAGTCCATTCTGGCCACCCAGCCACATGATTCACAACCATTGCTGCTCAGATTGCCATGCCTCATCCAACTACCCCCAGATGTCTCTGCCATGATGCAGTCCCTCACTTCACACATCAGACCTGAGAGGACCAACAGCTGCTCGAGTTCCTCTGCCACTCCCCTGGGACTGCTCATCCTGGATGTTCCTGTCTTATGGGCAGATGGGACACACACTCCAAGGTCAGACTCCTGGAAGGACATTGTGTGCCACTGGACAAAGGGTGAGCCGCAGCTCAACCTGCACACTCTGCTCAAGGACTGGCCCCATCACTACTACAATGGTAAGTGCCAGTGCCTCAACACTAAGCACTACCAGTGCAAGGTTGTGGCCACTGAATTTCTGAATGAGTACATACTACTTCGATTTGTCCTACTCCAGCATCTCTGATGGTTGTATCTGGCTCTCCAGGTTCCAAGGGAATGAGGATGCATTCCTCAGAGCTTATGGAAGTGCTGCCCATCTAGGGCATACAAGGCTCCTCAATGCCATCATAGCTGCTCACAAATGGCATCATGGGGATGGGGAGCACTGCCACCAGGCAGAGCAGCAATGAGCTATCCTTTTTTTTTATATAAAAAATATCATTCACTGTTGCATTGTCTCTTACACTTCTTACTCAACATACTGTGGTGTAGTGGTAGATACTCTACCTACACATTCTCCATAATACATGTTCTCTACACAAAGCTCGAAAGTTCATCAATCAAGAGATGGCAATTGCCATTTATGAACATAAATTGCATGGGCCAGTGGCCCTTCCCTCCAATATATACCATCAATCACGATCGAAGGCAGATGACAACAGTTGCCTCATACAGCAATTACAAAATTGCCAAATGGGTCAGACTGTTGCAGAAGATGTGCCAAGGGGCATGATAGCATGATGTCACTGGGGCTCTGTGCAAGCCTGAGTGACCATTCAGGGCAAGTTCCCATGCCTGCCAGATGAGGCAGGTGCCCTTCACCACCACTGTGAATTTCTCATGCTAAGTAATAATAGTCACAATGGTAATTACGATGACCATTGCAATTGCAATAGCAATACAAATGGCAATACCAAACATAGTGTCATTGGGGGGTTGATATTATGAACATGGTATCATCACCCCCTTATTTCGATGTTATTATCATGATGATTACAATAGCTGTGCCATGTAGAAATAGCCCAGACTCTCGGCACTGCCATATTACTGTAATCTGATTTGTAATGTACTGTGATGAGAACTGGGGATTGCAATTAATTTTGGACCGAGGGAATGGAAAAATATATTACAAGTACCTTATCTCATCCTAACCCTTTTTTCTTTTATCTAGGATCTGATAATTTGATTTGATTTGATTACCATTACTATCTTATCTTGTAATCTTATCATATTCTATTCATCACTATTACACTACATAGCAATCATTACTACATGCTTTCCTAATCAACTACAACAACTACAAACTATTTTTTTTAACTTGATTTGACCAGGGTTTGAACCTAGGGACTAGTGTAGTCGTTAGTCTAATTAGCATAGCTTACCATTAGTCTATGCACCCAATCTATTGATAGGGATGTCAAGTCCCCTTAAGGAGACTTTTTGGACTTAGACAAATTTTTGGAAATTGCTTTGAAGGCTCTAATGGGTCAAAGCACTCAAGGCAAAGACAGGATACAGATAACATTTGGAGCATAGGTACAGAGACAGGCAGTGACTAGGGCAGTGCTACAAAGGAAGAGAAGGCTAGTATTCAGTATGGAGTCACAAGATACGTAGTAATCTAGTTACAAGTCCTAACAATAAAATAGCAACTGGTCAAAGTGAATCTACTTAATGCGTCTGCCTCTACCATGTCGCCCTTTCGACTTCTGTACTGGATTAATGCTACCAGATTCCAAAGTATCAGTACTTGATGGATCTGCACAATTGTCATTGCTTGTTCTGAGGGTTGTTACAGGTGCTGGGATGGATGTTACAATTTGATGGGATTCAGATGCAGCAGGAACATTTGTGTCAGTGATTGAAAGTGAATCTGGGGTGGACAGACCAGAACTATCCATCTCATCTGCATCATCTTCTGATAGTGCAGCAGAGTCCATTGCCACCATCACAGCATCAATCTCCACAGAAAAGTCCTCCATTGCACCCATCCTGGACTTCATGGCTGCTCCAGGGTTCCTGAACACAAAGTGGTTCATCTCCATGACAATCTTCTGGATGTGATGGTCCATCCACTTCGTAATGAGCACTTGTTTATATGCACAGAACACTTGATAGTAATTGATTTTCGAGATAGCCCCACAACCGTTCCCTGGGAACTCCTTGTCAGGAGAAAGTAGAAACATACACTGTAATGATGAGAATTAAATCAGTAACACACAACATGGCATCACTGTAGGTTACTCACCATTGTTGCAGCCCATGCAATAGATCCTGGTGTCACTGCTGTGACCTGCCACTTCTGCCCATTTGTCTTCAGTCCACCACAATGAACAAAGCCCTCTGTGAGTGACATCTTGCCCCATAGCACTCCTTTCAAAATCTATTCCTCATCAGTGGAAAATTGAAGGAACATAGTTTTGACTCACCTGAGCAAGCAGTTTCCAGTTCATGAATGGTTTACACATGTCAAGCTTCATGTCCTTGAAGAGAAAGGGGAACCATATTGTGAAATGTTGGTTTGGAGTGCCTACCTCCTTGACTCCAAGCATCTTTGTGATTTTGGGAACTTTGAGATGAGACACATTCAGTGAGAAGTGGTTCTTTGGCAGAGCAAAGATTTCATGGGCATTGTCACATAGCTTGTAGAGGATGTTGGACTGACCACTTTGCATTGCTTGTGCAAACTGGGACATTGTCAGCATAGTAAGATCATATGGCAGGCATGAATGTATGACATCAAGGAAGAAATGGGTGTTTCTGATTCTACACAGATGCTCTGGGAGTATGGAATCAAGCTCAGTGACAAGACCCTGTTCCTCTGCCATCCTGCTAGCATAATGCTCAGCTGTCACAAACACAGGGGAAGGTGACTTTTGCAGCTCCAACATGGCATTGGTTAGTGGTGTTTGTGGCAAGAACATTTCCATCATTACAGCATATTTTTTCCCCAGTGTCTTGATCTTGCTGTCATATGCAATCATGTCAGCAGGAATGTCCTTCATAGAATGGCAGGTTCTTTTTGCCTCTAGGATGGCATTCTTCTCCAATAGTTCCCAATTGTGGGATTTTTCTATGTCAAGTTGCAGCTGGATGGACCTTAGCATCTGTGAAGTAGTCAGTAAGAACAGTTCTTTATGAAAAAACATGATTACATACCTCTGCAAGATCACCATTGCCTTCTCTTGAATGGGATGATGTGCTCATGATGGTCCATTGATGACCTTCAGCATCAGGGTCATTGAGGTCAGTGAGTGTGCATTGGGAGTGCCTGCTGAGATTCATTATTATTGCAGATAGGCTTGGAGCACAGTTGGGTAGCACAGGGACTGGGTGTTGGAGTCACTGATTGTTTCTTTGCACCCTTTTGAATGCAGGAGCAGTGTGTACAGCCAATGCTGATGAGAGCAATATTAAGTCATGATGCAACCATGATGCCTCTTACTGAAGGCCTAGTGCATGATATCAAACATCAGCAAATCTCAAGGTAGATATTAAAGTTAGCCTACCAAAGGAAAACATGTTGGTGATTGACAAATTTCAGTGCTTGGCAATCAGAAGATTTGGAGCTCACCATATGACAGTGCACAGGAATGCATGGAGCATGAATACCAACTTGGAATGCAAGGAAGTGGCCAACAGAGGCTGCCAGTCAGCAGGACGATGATGCAAATGGGCATGTAGCAGCATGTGGGTTCAACAAGGTGCAGTCCAAATTAACCAGTAGTTCCTGAAGTCAGCATATCATCCAAAACAAGAAGCAAACAAAAAAACTAGCATTGTGTCAGGTCATGGGCTTCATGCCATGCCCAATCAGGACAGCCTTTCGAGTTCCTCAAGCACCAGTACAAAGGTTGCACACCAAATCCATGCTGATCATGCCAGTGGGAGATGGGTATATATGCATAGAGTCGGATACCTGAGAGGAACTTGTCAGCACATTACTTAGGAAAGCAACAAAGAATGTACATAGTCCAAGAATTTTGCATGTGTATGGTGCTCAATATCATGCAAGTCAAAGTCACCCCAGCCAAGCTGAACCTCAATCCAGTATTTGTTGCTCATTGTACCATCTAACATGTCCTTGTTCTGTAGATAGAGCATTAGTGGGTGCAGTCTTGGTAAGGCATAAATATGTAACATACATCAGTCATGAGTAAATGGCATGTTATGTTCCACTTGCAGGCTGAGAATAACAAGATATCTGCACAGGACGAGTTCATCTTGTAACTCTTTTGAGGGTGAATCATTTCTTGCTGCACCATCTTGATTTGGAGGGGCTTGAGTTCTTGATTGAATACTCAACATAAGTCCATGACAACAATCTTGTGAACTAAAAAAAATCAGTCAGCACAAATCACAAAATACAGCAGAATGTGACCATCTCTTTTGCCACAAGTGAGCACAGAATACCTAGATCAAACTAATCTTATGGGTGGGGATCTTGCCATGCATGAAGATACCTGTCAGATCAAGTTGGACCTGGAAACCTACATAGACATTCGCTAGGTCGATCATTGGGCTCCACCAGAGCATGAGTGTGAACTGATGGTTGGGAATTTGGTTCAAACCCAAATGTTGAGCATTTGCAAGCTTTTTGTATCAAATGGACTCTTCGAAGCCCAACACCTTCTCCCAGAAGAGACTCTCCCAGGTTGGGAAATACCACCCAACACAGAGATAACATCGACTTGGTAGTTGTTGAGCTGCCAAAGTTTTCTGTCATGTTGTTGTGAAGTCCACCAGAATGGATTGCTACAATTGTAGTTAGTTGTGGCATTCGAGGAGAAGGAATAAACATGCACTGTTTGAGCAACTGATGTTGCCTCCAATCTGTATGAATGCACCAACCACAATCATGGTGAGACTAAAGAACCAATTAACTTTGTTGATTCCACATATAGTGAAATGATAAACTTACATGTGGCAATCCTTCTGGAACAGAGTATTGATATGGGGGATACCTCTGTCCCAGCTGTCTTCAAGGTCTTCAAGAGTGAGACAATGGCTTTGAGTGTTTGCTTCCTTCCACTTCATGGAGTATTCTAACCAGACATGGGCTGAATCCAGGGTTTCCAATTCTGCCTCTGATGGGCAGAGATAACAGTACAAGTTGGGTATGAGTTGGTCCTCTTCATAGAACATACTGGCTTGGAAGTGGGTAACTATCAGGACATTCATTAGTGGTGGTAAAGATGCAGGAATGATAGTGTGTACCAATCTCCACTATCAGTTTGCTTCAACCACCTCAGGTCACTTTGTGGAATCAGAATGTGACCCATCAACAACATACTAAGACTGCCTAGCCCCTTCAGAGTGTAGAAAATGACTGGTGGGAAATGTGAAGGCACCTTATTGTTCAACCTGGTCTTGACATGGGTTTGAATCTTGTTCTCAGCCCTGACAAGGGCATCTAACAACTTGTTCATGTGATAACAGCTTCACAGTAGTATGTCATGAGACCAATCAATGCAGTATTCCACTTGTTCACAATGTTGAAGAATGTTGTGAAACTGGAATTTGTAAGGATTCATCCATCAAATACAGTTTTTGAACTGTTGGATACCTGAAAAGTCTGCATGTCAGAAAAAAGACCTGAGCAATCAATGTATGCCAATGAACCATGGCTTTGAATTATCTCCCCAGGTGTGAGCGAGATTTCAGCCCTACGAAATCTTTCTATACCATAGTCTTGAACTCACTCAGTGTGAGTCAACAGGGTGGAAGATATGGGGCTGGGCACAGGGCCTATGGCTTTGGCACTCTAAGTGAGAGATCCATCCCACAAGATCCTTCTGTACTATGGATTCAAACCTGCCCAGTGTGAGTGGGGTGTCAATATACAACAGGGGGGAAAAATGATGTGAGACTCAGCATGAGTCAATGGGGTGAAAGATATGGACTTGGCACAGGGCCTGTGGCTTCAGCTCTCAAAGTGAGTGATCCACCCTGCAAGATCCTTCTGTATGATTCAAACTTGCCCAGTGAGAGCAGGGTGTCAATAAATGACAGGGGGGAGGTATGATGTGAGACTTCAGCCCCACAAAATCTCTCTGTACCATAGTCTCAAACTTGCTCAGCACAAGTCAATAGGGGGAAGACATGAGCTCGACACAAGGCCTGTGACCTTGGCTATCGAAGTAAACAATCTGCCCTGCATGATCCTTCTGTACTATAGATTCAAACTTTCCCAGTGTGAGTGGGGTGTCAATATACAACAGGGGAGAGGTATTATGGTGCACAACTTCAGCCCTATGAAATCTTTCTGTACCATAGTCTCAAACTCATTCAGCATGAGTTGACAGGTGGGGAGGTATCTGTCACCAGATAATATGATAACCTTGTAGGTAAAATTATTAGTGGTACAGTAACAAATGAACAAAAATGAGGGAATAATTATAATCAAGGCAAAGCAACTCATACTCTGCATGGATGCTCTGCATGGATCCACAAATCTGGTATGGGAAGGGAAATTTGCTGATCAGATGACTGGTAAAATAAACAGAAAAGTTGTTTTGTCAACTGGATCCTCAGTACTTTGGGTGAAAATGTTTCAAAGGGCCAACTTACATAGTTGATGGTTTTAGTGGTGTCCTGCAGTCTTGTGTATCATTTGCACATGAAGGAACATGTCAGTATTAATCATGTCAACAACAAGGTACTCACCAGCTCTTGTATGATCTGGATACAGAAGGGCACTGCAAATGATTGAGTGGACTGAAATAATCTTGGACAATCCTTGTGGTCACTCACATACCCTCCAGAAGTTGAGGTGTTTGTCCTTCTGAAGTCACTGCCCAATTGGGGCATCATATGGCTGTATCAGAGCCAAGGGGAAGGCCTCTCCACCAACAACACACTGGAACAGAAGTATAAGTTGCCCAAATATGTCATTTTGCTGAGTCTTGATGAGTACAGAGTCATAACAAGGACACCCATGGAACTTGGGGTGGGAGCATAGATAATCTGTGTACTAGCACCAGTCGACAGTGGACTCGAAGTTGACTTTGAAAAGTGATATTCTGTAATCTTTGGTGAAGGTTAGAGACTTGAATGATAGAGCAAAAAGACAGTTTTACTTACCATATCATTCCTTTGGAATTGGATGTGTTTCTTGCCAGGAAGAGGTTTCCCTGTGAAGACAAAGTACTTATTGAAGAACTCACTGAGTTTTCCCCAGAATCAATTGAACATGTTGTCAGCAATACTCTTCTTCTCAATACCCTCAAACATTAATGGCTTCTTCACTTGGCTACCCAACTTCACATGGAAATATTCTTCCTCAGGCTCATCAACAGTGATATCAATGGTGTCCATATTCGTTGCCACTCTGAACATCCTGTAAGAATCATATTCCTTGATCTTGCATTGGATATGCTCAGAAATCAGTCTAAGGTGATCAACATGGAGAATCTGTGCAAGCATAAGTAAGCTGGATACTAACCAACAATTTGACTTACTTGCTGAGCAACATCCTTGAAATTAGTTTGCTTTTGGTATGCTTGCTTCAACGGACCATGCATTTTCTCATTTGGCTTCATATTGAAATTGCAGGTGACACCCTTTGCTTTGATGTCATCAAATACATGCATATGGGTGTGGTTCTTCAGAAAGTTCCAATTTTTCCCTGTATGCTGAGTTTGCTCCACATATTTCTGTTCCAGAAACCATCAGCAATGATTCAAATACCAAAAATGGTGCCAACCTGAATCAAGGAGTTGAAGGTATGCAGTGCTTCTCACCCAGTGGTAAGTGTGTGTGTCATATGTAGTTCAAGTGCTGTATACAGATCAAACTTGATGTAAGCACGCAGACAGTGCAACAGAAGGTAGCCATCTTTTTCTGTCTCATGCAGCAAGATGTCATGACAGGCAAATATGATTATCTGTTCAGAAGATGTCAGCAGAACCCAAGCTTGATGGGATATCCACATTACCTTAGAAAGATCCTCAAGCTTCTGACTGTCTGTATATGAAATCCAAAGTGCTTCCTCAAAATGATTGAGACTGTGCCAGCAGGGCATTGCATTGATACTAGTATATTGTTAGCAAACCTGTTTCGAGCAACAAGATACTCACTTTTGCTCAGCCTTTCCCATTGTCTGACAACCCATTTTCTCAAGGATCTTCAGAAGCTCTCCCCACAGATGATCACCAAACAATCCTGCACAGTTTGCATGCAACCAATCCCAACACAATGTGCAATAAACATCCATGTTCATGACTGCATGAAAGGCACTCTGAAGAGGAATCAGGCCATAGTAAAGGTAATGATGCAAGTTACTTACATCTACATCACATAGTCCTTGCTCAATTAGAATTGTTCTTTTTCACCTGCTTGGTTCTGGGACTGTGCCTCCTGTAAAGTCTTGGAAACATTCTCACTTGTATGAAGTTCACAGTTTGTGGGGAATTTCAATATCTCATTCTGATGAATGAGACAAACCAGACAAGGGTGATGTGACATGACACCACATATGAGTGCTATGACCACTCTAAATGTTGAGATAGTCAGTCTGCAGTTGCATGATTTCACCTACCCTAACCACTCACTGCTCTTTGTAATCAGCAGAAAGAATTAGTACGGTAGGGAAAAGTCGATGCAGGACACCATCCCAACATGTTACCCAACAGCCATTTTTCAAGTAGACTGAAATGGTGTCCAGAATCTTGAATGATTCATGCCAAATGAGATTCTTGAAGTTGGTGAAAGATGTCTTTCCAGAATACCTCTTGTCTTCATTTACCTAGAAGTGCAAAAAATCAGTAAGTATGCTCGACACCATCAATAAAAGTACTGTACAATTGGTAGCCACCCAACTACCCAGCCACCACCTAAGCCTTCACCGTTCCAGATCCAAGTGGGGAGGTTAGCAAGTCATGCAACAACTGGATACCCTTTTTGTCAACCAAATGACGATAGTTTGGCTTTATCAGCATACCAGATGAATGCCAGAACCTTGCCATCAGGTGGTAAGTCACTCTGAAAAAAGGAAAAAGCAATCATTGAAGATACAGACTTAAGACTAACAACATACTTGTACATTCCAAAAATTGTCAGCCATCCATGGTTTGTCAATGAAATGAACAAACAAGGAGCCATCAAACTTTGATAGGTGCTGAGCATCAAATACAAAATATGGCCCCACACTGGTATCCTTCAAAAGATCAGAAGCCCAATCCCACAGTGAATGATAGTGCACTTCAAACTCCATCATCTCACCTGCAAATGGCACACTTATTACACTTTCCTGAAACTGGACTAGTGTGTGATTAGCATTGGCAGTAATAGTAAGTTAACAATGCATACCATCATCATGCAATGGGAAGTGGCCTGCCAAGTACTCTCAAGATTGTTGTAAGTTTCTAGGGTGCACTCCTCAGTATGAAAACATCTTGAAAGCTTGAGGATAAAATTAATTTGCTCCCTGTTGAGAGCAGCCCCACAGATGAATTCTGAAAGGTCAAAATCAAGACGAGTGCAAAATGGATACCATGGAGCCATGCAGGGATCAGGGGTGTATGATTTGGGTGCATGGCCTTGACTGAACTCAGTAAATGGCACCATTACAGGTGGCTTGCTGGCATTTGGGTGGTATTTAACTCAGATATCATCAACATTGATATCAGCCTCAGGTTCAACAGCTGCACAGTGAATCAATATGAATGATACAAACTGAATGCTGACATGCACCATCCACCAGGTCATCCACACCCACAACACTAGCTGCTGACTCAAAATCCACAACCATGGGCCATAACACTGCAGGCTCTGTGAACAGTTGTGAGAATGCAATCTGAAGGGTAACAGAATACTTACCAGGTGCTGGTCCCATGTTTGCTGCAGTGGAGGATCCAGTTGCTGAGTCCAGATCATTATCAATGGCAAGTTGTCCTTGTGAACATTCACCTGTGCCAGAACAGATCCCCAACAATAAATCAGGAAATTCAGCCAGTAGAAACCAGGCACACCTTGTTGATGAAGCAAGTCAAAATGAGCAGAATCTTCATGTGTTTTGTGGATTCACCTGAGACATGATTTGTGATGAGTACCTATTCCAGCTGGCTTGAATGATTTCCCACACAATTCACATGAAACAGTTTGCTTTTCTGGAGGCATATTGTTGGTAAATGAAAGGAACACAGTCCTTAAGAAAAAAGACAGTTAGTACAGGGAGAAAAGTGAGTGGAAAGGGAAACAAGAGGCAGAATCGGTAGCAGCCACTATTGTGAAGGGCATTGCAATGACCTTGCCAGTGAATTGCAACCCCATGCTCCCACACACAATCTTATCATAAACTGATTATCACCATGTGAAAATCTGACATCATTGCAATGAACTAAATAATTTTCTGACAATTGGCAGAACAGATCATTGCATTTGAAGTCAAGGAGCTACATACATAGTGGTTGCACGTTACCCAATGCAAAACGCATCAGTCTGGAAGGCGACCACAAGCACCAGATACACGAATGATCGTGCTACGGTGAGGGTACTTGCAATTACCCCTCGAATTCTCTTTCATGCGTTCTAGTACAAAAGGTGACATCGCGTAGATTGATCTATCATTACAACGTCGGGAAAGGAAATTTGTTACAGTACCAAGTCAGCGCGTATTGGCTGCCTCACCCCCGTTACTATCACGATCGTCATCACTCATCAACGAACTGAATTTATCCAGGCAAAATCAAGGACAAGCTTACCAATACCCATGTTTGCTAAACCAATGATGTGGAGGGGGGTTGAGTGCTTGTGCTCGCGGTGGGACCTTGGTTATTCATAGCAGTGGTGACCCTGGTCGCACCTGACCACTTGGCTTGCTCCGCTGCGCGAGCGGCAAGCCATAAATGATGTTTCGATGTGCTTGTTCCTGCATCAAGCATGATCCTAGAGCAATATAGATTCATGGATTGAAAACGGTGTGATATGCCGATGATGCTGCCTACCGCTGCAAGTGAGCTTGATCATCACCTGGGTTTGTTGAACGCATAACGAAGGTAATTTCCCCTAAGCCCTGTCGACGGCGGTCACGATGATGTTCAGGTATGTGATGAGACCGACCTTCATGTTTCCTTCTCTCCAGATGTAATCCACAACCTGAACCATGTCAAATGACAACTGCGGAGACAATGGGGTTGACTCGCCTTTGGTAACAGTTGGTCGACTTCCGCACATATCCCACACCAACACAGCCACAAGATCTAAGACTATCCTGAGCATCGAAACAAGTCAAGTTGATATTTGCCCTTGCCTTGCCTGTCACGTCTTCCTCCAGTGCTCGCTGCTCATCCTCGTCCACCGTTGCATCAAGTTTCGCTTGGAGAACTTCGACCTCTTTTATCATCGAAGGAATGTCGACTTGCCTGCAGATCGTGTTCGAGATGTGAACTGCCGAATGTTAGTAGATATGGTGCTGACCCGTCATATTCAATGTCGCTCGGTTGAAGTGTCCTTCTGGAGCCAGGAAGCAATGAATAGAAGAAAAATGAAACAATTTGAGGTAATAAGATTACTCACGAGTACTGGTGTTCAAAATATGCATTTCTGAAGACACGAAGTATGTGTTGGAGTAGCTTTATGTGGTTAGAATCAGCCCCAATTCTTTTTTGCCAATAGAAACACGTACATCAGCACTCAGAGTCTGCAATATGGACTTCAACTCGCGCTCCACTTTTTGCCTTTCATTAGCATACCGACGCCGCGCGTCATCCCTCGAAAGAGTGTGGCATCGCTTGGATAACGCAGGCAACACGACTTCAAGGTGTGGGTCCTGCGTAGCATTGGATTGCCAGCTGCCCTTAAATAGGTTACACATCATCACCCAGTCGGCACACGACAATTTTGGTGTGCGTGCTAGTAAACCATCCTCTGAGGTCGCAACGTAAGTCTGCAGACAAACCAGGCAAACCCGCTTAGTTAGGCGAACAGACCTTCCGCACTGCCTGCAGAAACCTCGCTGAGTGAATCACTTTCCATCATCGAGGGAAGCCTTTCAAAGAATAATATTTTGCCGACCTGGATTCAATGATGAGTGTGAGCTGGACGAAGCAATGAAAGTATCGGTACAGACGTAATTACTCAGACGGTGGAGACAAAACATGTCTGAGAAGAACTTGATCGCTCCGTCTTTCCGTCGCCTGTTCTGATGCCATCCTAAGTGTATGTTTGAGGTTCGCACAGTTTTCCAATGCACTGCAGACTGGAGACGGACTTCGGTTCCCGCAGGTTGATGCTGCAGATAACATCAGTACAGACGAACCAAGTGCGAAAATGGAAGGCACCATATTCATGAGGTCGTAAAAGTGCTCCCTACATCCCGAAACGAAGCCTCGTCAGTACCACCTCACATACTGATTCCATTGGTTTACCGGATACTTTTAAATTGTTCCCTTCTCTGTACACAAGGCATTTCTCTTTGCCAAACTTGTGGACTTACGACGATATATAGTGGAGTCAAAATCCCAGGTTCGGTGGAATGGCTATCACTGTCGAGTGTCGAGTCTGGAGATGTCAAAAGGAGAACAGGACACACATATCGCGGAAAACTCACTGTCACCCGAGTCCCTTGCCTCCCCGCCATTATCAATTTCGTACAAACCTGAACATTGTATGACCGATGTCACTAAATGCTTTCCTGCAAGACGGATGGCCAGGTCTTTCAGCAGTAGCTCAAAATGTTCATTCGTAGGAAGCCCTAGGCCCTTTGGCTGACGCAGAGCTAGGTGTTTGCCCTCAGTACTAGTGTGGCGCGCCACGACAAGCTCAGTGCGATTCTCCGCGCGACGTATTAGCCATTCGAAGCCGGATACACGTCGGACCACGGGACGATAAACGGATTCTGTGGGATCAATGTTGCCAAGGGTCCGCATATCCTCAAATATATTGCCAGTGCATTTGAAGTTGCTATCGGAATTGTCACCATAATCACCCAGCTGGTTATATCAGTGTCGACGCAGGCATGAGTATGCATAGCATGACTCACCGTAATCCGTGGACCGGAACACTTGGCAAACTGGGCCCGCAAGCCATTTAGCCTCAACTCATATGGATAGCGATTGGTATCCATGAACCCCGGCGTATCAAGGCCACAGTGTTCGTTCTATGTTACCACAAATGATTAGGTCTGCGTGCACGCAGGAGGAAAAGTACCAACGAATGTCGTTGCCCATCGATGTGGCCCATCACAACAACCAGGACATTGCTCGACATCAACCATGATCCTGAAATTGTCCATCTCCCACCTACCCCAGACTATCCTGGCAGCCCAGATTGATCGGGGAAAGTGGACATGTTTAATGAAGTGGTCATTGCGACGGCGTTCATCGTTGTGTTCTTGTTTGGGCATGCTCCGAGCATGTTCTGCACGTGCACCCCACATTCGCCGATATGCTCCAGAGGCAAATTTTGACCATGGCATCCAGTCCTGAGTTGGGGAGCATCCATCATAGACAACGTGCACCCATCCTTGGCCGAGGTAGTATCCGAGGCCGACTGCAAAGCGAGACCTGGCGTCGTCATTGGCATACACTATAACGATGAGATCATCTGTAAGAGATGAGAGTGTAACGGTGTCGCCTGTAAACTCGCGCGGGTACGTGCCGCAACGAGTGAATCCATGGTACGAGGCATACTTGTCGTCGAGTGCAAATTCTTGGCGCGTTTCATTGGTGTCTTGATGATAAGTAAGACAGAGTGTCTTGAATTCTGGATATGTGGTAAGGCGGGCCAAAGGACGAGCAGTTGCAAAAGTCCTCTCAAAGTTGGATACAGAGGATACCAAATCAATGGTGAAAGGGAAATAGCCGCATGGCAATATAGCTCTGAGATGAGACGGAGAGTCGCGAGAGGGGATGACGGGCAGACACACTTGGATACCTGAACTGGTGACAGAGATTGTGCGAAGTTGGTGGCTGATCGCACGGGCACGCCACCTCAACCATGTAATTCTGCACCAATGTATCGGGTTTGTTCTGAACTTATGCTGGGGGTGCCGGGGGCCGTCGAGTGCGTTCCGTTCAATGAGTGTCATTAGGTTGTCAATAAATTCTTCGCGTTTCACTATTTTGATGAAGCTACTATCCCGAAAGTCGCTCGGATCCTCAGCCAGGACACTGCCTGTCCGCGGTTCACTTGGATTCCATGCGAATATGCTATGATCGCTGGATACGCGGATGATTTCCAGTTGTAGCCTCTGGAATGCCTTTTTGCCCTCGCCGTACAACATGGGCATGTTAACCCTGAACAATCCCATCAGTGAGTATGCCCGATCTTCTACGCGCGTCGTCTTGCGGCCGGCAGCCCACGACATGATCTGTGCGACGCTGAGTCGCTTCGCACCCAGACCATCCCTCAAAACTTCCCAAGGAATGCCCGTTACACACTCCAACGTAGATGAAAGGTGTCGTTTGTTGCCAATGGGCGCCCAGTCCTTGTTGAAGAATTCGACCTGCTTCGGCGCGATGAGTTCTTGCAGTGTCCAACCCCGCATGAACCACTCTGGCCAACCGTCGGACTCGCTGAACTTGTCGCGGTCCAGAAGGCCGATGGCAGAATGGCGGGTAGGAGAGACGGCGTCTAGAATACGTGTCGGAGGGTGGCGGGAATGCTGACGAGAAATTGAGTTTCGGATGCATAACGGTGTTGAATGTTCTTGCCTAGCAACAGCTGTATGAATGTTCGTCGGGTCATACGTATAACTACCTTGGGTCCTGACATATGAGTCGCAGTGCACCCGATCGATCTCAATTACTTCTCCCCTCAAGAGAGGCGTCCTTTACAAGCTTTGCGCGTCCCATTTGTAGGAATTATGGTGACAAGGTTATATAGCTTCGGCAGGATAGTCCGGGCCTGTGAGCATCACGAAAGACAGTTTCATGTAGTCAAGGAAGCGTTCGTCATTCAAACCATCAGGGATGGACTTGGGCATGCTCGGGTGTCAGTCAGTACCCGTTCTTCGCTTCGTCGGATTTCGTGCGCGACGCATCGTAGACGGGCCTGTGACAGGGATATCAGGACGCCATCTATGGTTGCTGGGCGAGTGTCCGTCCAGCAGTCGGGCTGTCTGCAATCGTTCCAAATGTTAGAAGGGTACAAGAATAAGACACAGACAACTGCCCTCTATGACGATCTAACTCTCCATAGGGCGATTAAGACCCGGTAAAAAGCCGTACTATAAAGCGTTCTTTTCCATCATGAGTGAACAGTGTCGCGTCTGTGTCTGCACGACGACAACGAAATCATCAATGCCTACCATTTCCATTCGACTTGTGTTCTGCTCCGCTTAACAAGTTCCGAATGGATACGTGCCAGAACGTGCCTGCAAGCCTTTGGAAGAGAGTGCCAAAGGTGAGCTTGACGTACTGGTTTGCCCGCACCATAGTATGCAAAAGTGAAGTGCATGACAAACCAGTGAACAAAATTGAAAACGGGCGGGAAAGACGTACAAGGAGCCCGCGAGGTGCTAACAATGTCACATCGGGGAGAGAGATGATGCATCTGTGTATGCATCGGGAGATGTCAGAGGCCACAAATTGCGGTTGTCCACGCAGTGCACACGGGAGTTGCATCGCTGGTATGAAAAACACCGTAAATATCTTGGAGAATGGCCGTGAAATGCACCCACTGTCTACACCAAGAGCTTCGTGAGGTTATGTAGTACCGCCGTAATGCAGGGATGAATATGAATCTTGAATTCTGAACAAGTACTGTGTCCTGAGCACAATGTCTATGGAATATTCGACCAGTGGTCAGTCTTTTGAAGATCTCCGACTTCACTCGCTGTGAGCTACTCTCGAACACTGTCGACAAGGGTTCAGTAGTCTCTTTACATTTGCCAGGAGACGGACCACAACAACCAGTCTGGATACAGAAATCATCCATCGAGAACCACCGAGTACGAAGCTGAAGTTGCAGATTTCATCGACTGGCTACTCTCTGGGAAGCGTATCGTGTAATGCAGTGACCAGACCGTCCTGTTTGAAGACGAGACTCTTGGCCCAGCTTCTCTCATCTATTGCACCGCCAACCCTGTTGTTGTTGTTGTACATATTCTCCGTCCACCCGTCTGCCTCGCTTGTGGAAGGCTTCGCCTGTTCACGCATCGCCTGTGTCGTACCTCCCCGTTTCGTGTTCGCGACCCCCTCGTTTCCCTCCGCTTCGACGTTCTGGCAGCAGGTATCGTCAATTGGATCACTGCGGAACATATTCATAAAGACAATCGATACTTAACCAATGAAGACAGAATGATGGGTATTGCTTCTAGACGTTCGTTCGCCCATGACTTAGGGGTTGCTGCTGAATGGTTGAAGACGCAGTTCCAGTATGCATATATTGGGATCGAAGACATATCCTTGTACTTTGCTTTTTTCTCCTAATCATGGGTTCGTCGATGTTTCGTAAGGGGGAACTACGTGAGAGAGGTGTCCATATTACTCTCATGATCCAGGCCGATATAGTTGCGTTTCATGCTCCCCCCGAAACTCCTCAACTGGGTTTCTTGCAACCGTTGGTGTTGGTCTTGTAGGCGGCGTGCACTTGCATATCTTCTCGCCGAAGTGACACAGCTTGTCGCCAACATTTCAATCCTGAACTCACAGTTGGGTCCGCTACCGTCTGCTGTAGCGATCATCTAGCGCGGTACCGTGCCCTTCTAACCCTCCATATGAATTTGACCACTCACGTTTCCCAGGTGGAAAGCCCTTCCGTGAACAAGGATTCCCCGCAGCTCAAGTCTCCGAACGTACAGGACCAAGTAAGGTGTTAAATATGCAGCAGTACTTCGTCTGGGCTAACTGACTCTGTTGCGGTAAGTGACACGCATAACCATTCCGGCGATATGGGTAGACGCGTCATGGCAGGGGACCTCAGCGACAGACCGGCATACGACTTGAACCAGGTCCGCTCGATCTGTAAGGTCCAGGTACGTCTCTTTCCGTTCCGTGCTAGTAGGTCGATTGAATGTGATATGTTACTCCATGCTGCTAGTTCCGATCTCCCTGAAGGTGTGAATATACAGGATCTAGAGGGGCTTGATTGACTATATATATCGAGCACCGTGGAGTTGTGTCCGCTTTCCTGGAAACACGTCCTGGACAGCGCTCGTGGAACAGTGCTTATACTTATGTGTTTATGCTTATTACACTTACCTGATCGAACAGGTTCACCCGCATGGTTCGTAGTGAAGGATCGAAGGTCTGAAACGTGCGTGTTCATTCCGTCTAGGTGTCCGAGGTGCGCCAGTGATCTTGTACATACGGGGGGTAATAGCTTCTTACACGCAGAGAGTCACTTCAGGACCGGACTGATATACAAATAACCCTGCTTCAGCGAAGGTGCTTTCAATCACCCCTTGGACTTTCTAGGATTGTTTCATGTACAAGAGCATACATCACGCACATACATTGATGTACCATTACAATCACTCGTCAACGAGTTGAATTTGTCCGATCGAAAACTAAACTGACATATTTACCATCGTCACCCCCACCCCTTCGGGGTGACGGTTACACGACATCCAAGTTTGCTAAACCACTGATGCGGAGGGGGGCTGATTGCTTGTACTCGGAACAGAACCCGGGTCGTCCACAGCGGGGGTGTCCCTAGACCACTTGGCTTGCTCTGCTGCCCGAGTGGCAAGCCATAACTGATGTTTCGACGTGCCTTCTCCTGCATCAAACATGATCCTAGAGCGATATCAATTATTGGATTCATAACGGTGTGATATGCCAATGATGTTGCCTACCGCCGCAAGTGAGCTTGATCATCACCTGAGTCTGTTGAACACGTAATGAAGGCAATTGTCACTAAACCCTGTTGACGGCGTTTACGATGACGCTCAGGTATGTGATTGAGCTGACCTTCATATTTCCCTCTCTCCGAATGTAACCCACAACCTGAACTATGTCAAATGACAACTGTGGAGACAATGGGGTTGACTCGCCTTTGGTAACAGTTGGTCTACTTCTGCACATATCCCGCACCAACACAGCCACAAGATCTAAGACTATCCTGAGCATCGAAACAAGTCAAGTTGATATTTGCCCTTGCCTTGCCTGTCACGTCTTCCTCCAGTGCTCGCTGCTCATCCTCATCCACTGTTGCATCGAGTTTCGCTTGGAGAGCTTCTACCTCTTCAATCATGGAAGGGATGTTGAGTTGCCTATGTACATATCGCGTTCGAGACACGAACTGCTGAATGTTAGTAGATATGGTGCTGACCTGTCGTATTCAATGCGGCTCGCTTGACGTGTCGTTCTGGAGCCAGTAAGCAATAAATAGAAGAAAAAGGAAACGATTTAAGGCAATAAGATTACTCACGAGTGCTCGTGTTCAAGATATGCATTGAAGAAGACACAACGTATGTGTCGGATTAGCTTTTTGTGGTCAGAATCAGCCCTAATTCTTTTTTGCCAATAGAAACACCTACATCAACACTCAGAGTCTGCGATATGGACTTCAACTCGCGCTCCACTTTTTGCTTTTCATTAGCATACCGACGTGGTGCGCCCCTCTCTGCACAAAGAGTGCGGCATCGCTTGGATAACACAGGCAACACGACTTCAAGGTGTGGGTCCTGCGTAGAATTGGATTGCCAACTGCCCTTAAATAGGTTACACGTCATCACCCAGTCGGCGCACGACAATTTTGGTGTGCGTGCTAGCAAACCATCCTCTGAGGTCGCAACGTAAGTCTGCAGACAAACCAGGCAACCTGCTTAGTTAGGCGACAGACCTTCCGCACTGCCTGCAGAAACTTCGCTGAGTGAATCACTTTCCATCATCGAGGGAAGCTTTTCAAAGAATAATATTTTGCCAACCTAGATTCAAAGATGAGTGTAAGGCAGACGAACCAATGAAAATAAGGGCACAGACGTAATGATTCAGATGGCGGAGACCAAACATATCCGAGAAGAACTTGATCGCTCCATCTTTCTGTTGCCCGTTCTGATGCCGTCCTGAGTGAGTGGTTGTGGTTCGCAGGGTTATTCAACGCACCGCAGCCTTGTGTCGGGCGTCGGTTCCTGTAGGTTGGCGCTGCAGACGATGCTATCAAATAGAGAAACCAAGTGTGAGAAGGGAGGGTACCGTATTCACGAGGGCGTAAAAGTGCTCCCTATATCCAAAACACAGCCTCGTCAGTACCACTTCGCAAAGCAATTCCATAGGCCTACCGAATACTCTTGAATTGCTCCCTTCTCTGTACACAAGGCATTTCTCTTCGCCAAACTTGTGGGCTTGCAATGATGCACAGGGGAGTCGAAATATCTCCCTCAGCGGGGTGGTTATTACTGTCTGGTACCGAGTCTGATAAAGTCGAAAGGCGAACAGGGCACGGTTGTTGTGGGAAACTCACCATCCACTGAATCCCTTCGCTCTCCATTATCATCGACTCCATAAAATTCTGAGCATTGTACGACTGTTAACACCAAATGCTTGCCTGCAAGACGAGTGGCCAAGGCTTTCAACAGTCGCACAAGATGATCATTAGCGGGCAGAGAGAAGACCTTTGGTTGACGTAAGGCCAGGTGTTTGCGCCCAGAGTGATATGCCACAACAAGATCATCCTCATTCTCCGTATGATGCCTTGACATTAGAGAGAGAAAGCTGGACACGTGGGGGACCACAGGACAATAAGTTGAGCCCATGGTGTCGATGCTAAGGATGCCCGCATCCTCAAAAATATTGCCAACACGCATAAAAGTGCCATTGGAATAGTCGCCATAATCACCCAGCTGGGGTATATCAAGCTCGACACAAGGATGAGTATGCGTGTCGCAACTTACCGCAATCCGTTGATCAGAACTCTCGTCAAGCTCAACCTCCCACCCATCCAGTCTCAGTGAATATGGATGGGAACATATGTACATGAGCCCCGGCATCTGAGGGCCATGGTAATGGTTCTATGATAACACAAATGGTTAGATCCGCGTGCATGTGGGAGGAAAAGTACCGACGAGTGTCGCTGTCCATCCGTGTGGCCCGTCACAGCAACCAGGACATTGCTCGACATCAACCATAATCGTGAAATCGCCCTTCTCCCACCTACTCCAGACCACCCTCGCCGCCCAGATTGATTGGGGAAGGTGGGCATGTTTAATGAAGTGGACACAGGCGCAGCGTCCATGAACAGGGTCTTGTTTGAACATACGCTGAGCATGTTCCACACGTGCATCCCACATTCGATGATATGCTTCAGGAGCAAAGGATGTCCAGTCCTTTTGAATTGCAGGCTTGTCACAGACAACGTGTACCCATCCTTGGCCGTGGTAGTATCCAAGGCCAACTGCAAAGCGAAATCCGGCATCGTCGTTAGCATAGACAATGACAACGAGATCATCTATGAGGGACGAGAGTGAGACAGTGTTGCCTGTAAACTCGCGCGGGTAGGTGCCACGGCGGGTGAAATGATGGTATGAGGCATGCTTGTCGTCGAGTGTAAACTCGCGGTGTGTCTGATTGGCGTCTTGGTGATGAGTAAGACAGAGTGTCTTGAATTCTGGATATGTCTTGAGAATAGGCGACTCTAAAATGGGAGATGATGCAGCTGAAGTCCTGAGATACCTGGATCCAGAGAATACCAAATCAATAGTTTCCAGACCGAAATGTCTACCGCATGGCAATATAGCCCTGAAATGATTTCGAGAGTCGGGAAGGGGAATGACAGGAAGGCACACTTGGATACCCGCATTGCTGACAGAGAACGACAGGTGATGTTGCTGGCTGACCACACGGGCACGCCACCTCAACCAAGCAAGTCTGCACCAGTGTATCGGGTTTGTCGAGATCTTCCTGGAGTTGGAGCGGAAGTACAGGGTGGGACCGAGAACGTTCCATTCAATGTACTTCGTTAGTTTGTCGACAAATTCGTCGGGTTCCACTTTCTCGATTCTGCCACAACCCGCGAAGTCGCTCGGATCGTCTGCCAAGACACTGCCAGTCCGCGGCTTCCGCCGATTCCATGCGAATATGCTTTGGTCGCTGGATGTGCGGATGATTTCCAACTGAAGCCTCTGAAATGCTTTCTCGCCCTCTCCATATAACATTGGCATGTTCACTCCAAACAGCCCCATCAGCGAATACGCCCGATCTTCCACGCGCTGCGTCTTCCGACCAGCCGCCCACGACATGATCTGTGCGACACTGAGAGGCTTCGCACCCAGGCCGTCTCTCAGAACTTCACGTGGAATCCCCGTGATGTCCTGCAAAACGGCTGCCAGGTGTCGTTTGTTGCCGATGGGCGCCCAGTCCTTGTTGAAGAATTCGAGTTCCCTCGGTGCGATGAGCTCCTGCAGTGTCCAGCCCCGCGTGAACCATTCTGGTCCCAGCCAACCGTTGGGCCTGCAGATCGACCTGAGGTGATATGGCATAGTAGGGCGGGGTAACTCGTCAACGTCACTGAGGTATGCATAGCAGACCTGTGCGTTCTGGTACCACTGATACATCGAATTAATGGCCTCCGATAATTCTGAACTGCTCCGTTTGTCGATGCAGCAGGTATCGATCCACAACCACTCGTGTCTATCCTTCACGGCTTGCTTACAGCTCTTGATGATCTTTTGGTAGCCAGAGCGCTGCCTGACCTTGTCCCTCTTATGCTCCTCCATCTTCATCAGCCCAGTCATCTCTTCATAACCGACCTCGTCGCTCCAGCGATGTGACAGTATGGCATAACGAGTACTTTTGCTATTATCCTCCTTCAGGACTTCACATTCGGGATCGGCCTGCTGGATGTGCGTTTCCCTGTCGAGAACGGCATTCACGTCTAGTAGCTTCATCTTCTTGACGAGTCAATGCGAAGTTCAACATGTCAACTAGATATCATACATACTCTGAGCCCACAAGCTATTCTTCCACGTGGTCAGTTTCGAGTGTACGGCGGAAAGCAAATGGAAGACCGATACTGGTTGCTGGTCACAGCTCTTAAGTACGAGGGAGTACAGCATTGGACGTGAGCGCCAGGTTTGCGGCTATGCGAGAAAAGTACCCTAAATCCGGTGGTGGCGGGCGCTCGATGTCGACAGTTACACAGCTGATCGAGAACAAGAGGCGACGAGACGCTTAAGAATCTCCAGTATCTCCACTGACAGAGCCATTTGCGATCCCAGTAGCACGGGCAGAAAAAACGCACAACAATTGTCGTATGTACATCTGACATCGGGTGGTACCCTACAAATCTCTCGGTTAACGGCGTACGAATTATACATAGCCCCAGGAGCAGTGCCCCGACTGAATGCGACAGTCGGATGCTAGTACATTTTGTATCAGCCCTACCCATGTATGTCACGTCACCAATTTGCCTCCTGGATGGCAATCCAAAAATTGAGTCGATCAAGGTCGCAGGGTTTGCAGTACAGTAGTGACAGAGGATATGCATGTCTATTACTGACCCATTAGTCTGCTAAAACACGCCTCGACGCATGCTTCCCTCGCAATGGGATACGTTGTTGCGATGCGGGACGGTAACCGGACATGCCAAAGATCATCGATCATGAATTGGGAGATGTGAATACGACGAGCCATGACAAGAAGTTCGCTCAGGCACAGATTGTCCTTGTTGCGAAGTTCCTCTGTGAAACACTTCCGGATTAGTGGCGAATGGTATCTTGTGCTCTGAACAATAAAGGGCACGGATTTGTGAAAGAGAGAAACATGGGGAAACGCAGAGGGACGACTTCCCTTGTTCCCCTTGCCACGAGGTTCTGGGGTGTTGTGACAGCTAAGAGGGATCGTGACAGGATTGGCAACGTTTTCCGAGGGACACTTTGTGGTGATCGGTGAAGAGCGGATGCCGATAATGCAGAGTCCGGTTTGACGAGGTGCTCGTTCGCTCCCGTATGCCTCTCTCCGTAGCAAGGGTGAATTAGGATATTGTGACAAAACCTATTAACGACGGGTCGACTTGTCCGGGAGGCAACAAGTCGAACGGTATGGTTTCCTGTCGTGGAAAGTTAATGGTAGACCGGCCCACGGGAGAGACGACAGCTGGTAGGCGTGCCGAAAGAAAGCTGAACCATTGTCGTACGATCGAGTGTCGGGTATGCAACAGTGTTCAATCCCCTTTCCCAGCAACAGCTGGTATGAACGTTGGCGAAGTGAACCCGTATAAAAATACCTCGGGTCCTCAACATTTAAGTCGCAGTGCATCTGATCCGTCTCAAAGTATGTGCCTTTCGCTCGTGCGTATTATGGTGGCAAGGTTGTATAGCTTCTGTAGAGTACTTCGGTTCTGAGAGCATCCCGAGACATTTTCTTGGGGTGGTCAAGGAAGCATTCGTCACTCAAACGTTTAGAGATGGACCCGGCTGTAGTCGTGTGTGGATCAGTACCCCATTTTCGCTTTGTCGGATTTCGTGCGTGACGCATCGTAGTTAGACCTTTAATGAGGATATCGCGACGCGGTCTATGGTTAATAGGCGAGCAACCAACCAGCAGTCACATTGTCTGCGATCACTCCGGATGTTAGAAGAATACGAGAATGAAATGCAGACGACTAACCTCTATGACGATCCAACTTTCCATAGGGCGATTAAGATTCAGGAGAAAGTCGTATCATCAGGCAGTCGTTTCCAACAGGATTGTGCAGCTCCTCGTCTGTGCTTGCACCCCGACAAGTAGTCTTCAATGGCTATCTGCACACCGTGTTCATTAGATTTGTTTTCTACTCCATATGGCAAGTTGCGAATGTGTACTTGCTAAAACGTACTTGCAGGCTTCAGGGTGAGAACGCCAAACGTGAGCCTGACGTATCGGTTTGGTTACAGCACAGTGTTTGGGGTGAAGTCTGGTGAAGTGCGGTTAGCAAGTGGACAGGGTTGGGGGCAGGCGGGAAAAGTGTACATCAATGTGATAGACGACAGATTTGTGGACACACGGGGAGAGGTCATGACACGATAGAGGACGAAAATTGTAGTCGTCTATGAAAGAACGGTACCGGGGGTGAATCGCTGCATGAAAAACACCGTAAGTATCTTGGGCAGTCAGCATGAAATACGCGCATTGTCTGCAACAAAGGTTTCGTATCTCTCGCCAACTCGTCTTCGTTGAAGGAATTTATGTCAGAATGAGGTGGAATGTGTAGGCCATCGGGAATTTACCGGTTTCACTCGTGCAAATTTGGGCTGTTTTTCACCCGCGCAAGTGACTGTATTGGATGGGGTCAGCGCAGGCCCATCATACAAGCCACCCCAACAAGCTTGGCTTTTGAGTGCTTTGACGATATTGTCATGAAGTAGGCAAACCAAAGACTCTACCCCTCAGGACGGTCTGGCACCACCAGCGTCTCCCACTCCACCTCGAGATATCCGACTTTTCATACTTCGAGTTGCGCCCGACTTCCATCGACGAGGTTTCAGTGGTCCATTTGCACTTGCTAGGAAGATGAACTGCAACAACTGGTCGGGATACAGGAATCATCCATCGACAACTCCCTCCACACCCCCGAGTATAGCTGAAGTCGCCGATTTCGTCGATTGGCTGGTTGCTGAAAAGCATGTCACACATCCCGACGGGCACACCGTTCTGTTTGAAGACGACAAGTCTGGCCCAGTTTCTCTCGTCTATCGCACTCCCGACGCTAATGTTATCGCCGTCGCCAACCATGGTTCTGCACATATCCCGTCTATTCATCTGTCTCAGTTCTGGAAAGCTGCCCATCCCTGCAACCCCTGCATCGTACTTCCCCGTTCCGGAGGTCGCAATCGAGTGCCGCTGGGTCTACCCCTGCTTGCTGTAGCGATCACCAGTGTAATACTGTGTCCTTCTCAACTCCTTCACATGAATACAAACACTTGCGTTTCCGTCGTCGAAAGTCCTTCCACGCACAAGGTTCTCCTGCAGCAACTCTTCGAATGTATGTCCTTTGTCTGGGTTAGCTGACCAGATGCTTTCAGTTGCTGAGCCCATGTGCCACAACAATGGTAAGTGAGATCCGTTGCCGTCCCGAAGATACGCACAAACATGTCGTGACAGACCTGGATACAAACTCATCCAGGTTCGCTCGATCCGTAAGGTCCAGGTGCGGCTCTTGAGTTCGCTGCGTTACTCCATACTGTCGTTTTCGATTCGCCTGCAGGTGTTAATTTAGAGAACCTGGGATGAACATTTTCATCGAGCACGCATGGAGTGGCGTCAATTTTCTTGGAAATACGTCGTGTACAGCACAGCGCTTATATTTCTGTGTACGCATACCCGACCGAACAGGTTCACCCGGGTGATTCACATACAAGGAACGAAGGTCTGAGGCATACCTTTTCATCGTGTCTAGTCATCCGACGTCCACCGATGATCGACATGTACTTTCATGTACATACATACAGAGTAACGGTTCGTTGCACTCGGAGAGTCAGTTTAGAAGGGGACTTCATGGACTAGATACGCAAATGGCTGTGGCACAGCCAAGGTACCTGCAATGACCCCCTTGGATTTTCTTGGATTGCTTCCAACATCGGGTAAGGAGACTCGTTACAGTACTAACTCACGAAGTATTGGCTACATCATTTGCGTGAACATCACAATCGTTACTGCATCGTATCAATAAGTTGACTTCATCCCGACAAAATTAAGGACATACTTACTGATATGCATGTTTGCTAAGCGATTGGTTGGGAGAGGGTTTGAGTGCTTGTATCTGGAGTGGACCCTTTGTTGTTGATAGTAGGGGTGTCCCTAGTTGTACTTGACCACTTGGCTTCCTCTGCAGCCCGAGCGGCAAGCCACAATTGGTGTTTCGACGTCCCCGCTCCTGCATCAAGCATGATCCTAGAGTAACATGTATTCAGCGATTCATAACGACGCGATATGCCAATGATGTCGCCTACCGCTGTAAATGAACTTGATCGTCATCGGGTTCGATCTCTGCACAACAAATAATGTTGGAAATCTCTGACAAACCCTACTAACGGCGGTTACGATGATGTCCAAATGTGTGACACTGCTTACCATCATATATCCTTCTCTCCGAATGTGATCCACAATCTGAACCACGTCAAACGATATCTGCCGAGACAAAAGGGTGGGCTTGCCTTCGGTAACAGTTGGTCCACTTCCGCACAGATCCCACACCAACAAAGCCACAAGATCTATAATGAATAGACCATCCTGAGCACCGAAAGGTAACAAGTTGATGTTGCACTTGCCTTTCCTGTGATGTCCTCCTCCAGTGCTCGTTGTTCATCATCATCAAACGTCATGTCAAGTTTCATTTGGAGCACCTCTATCTCTTCAACCGTGGAAGGAATATCAAGTTGCCTGCATACTGCATTCAAGACGTGGACTGCTGAATGTTAGTAGATGTAGTGCTGACCTGTTATAATCAATGTTGCTCGCTTTACCTGTGGCCCCAGTACTAGGATGCGACGAATCATGGAACAAGGAAATGACTTGACGTCAGAAAAAGTACTCACAAGGGCTGATGTTCACAGTATGCATCGTAGAAAGTAATTCGTATATCTTCGAGCAGCTTTTTGTGATTGGAATTAGTCCCTACGTGTTTTCGCTAATAATAGCACTCACGAGAGCACTCAGAGTTTGCCGTATGGACTTCAACTCGTGCTCCAATTTTGACTTTTCATTAGCATACCGATGCGGCGCATCATCCTTTGCACAAAGGATTTGGCAGCGCCTGCGCAATAGAGGTAGCACACTTTCGAGGCACTGGTCTTGCGTAGCATTGGATTGAGAGCTACCCTTAAATAGGGTACGTGTCATCACCCAATTGGTGCATGATAATTTTGGTGGGCGTGTCGGTAATCTATCCTCTAAATCTGCAATGTAAGTTTGCGAACATACTTGAGGTGACCTACCAACCTTCCATGGTGTCTGCAGAAACTTTGCTTTTTGTGACCATGGGGAGACTTCTGAAGAACATGATTTCGCCAATCTACATGCAATGGATGAGCGTGACGAGGAATTGAAAAAATAAATACGCACATAATTTCTCAGATGCTTGAGACCAAACATGTCTGAGAAGAACCTGCTCGCTCCATCTTTCTTTTGCTTATTCTGTTGCCATCCTAAGTGTTAGTCTATGTGATTCAAACATGTTCAACGCACCGCGGACTTATGATGGGGTTTGATTCCTATAGGTTGATGCTATAGATGACGTTATTAGTGCAGGCCATACATGTGCGAGAAGGGAAGGTATTGTACCATATTCATGAGGACGTAAAAGTGCTCCCTGCATCCAGAAACATATCATCATTAGTAGCACCACACATAGTGATTCCACTGGCTCACCGAATACTCTTAAATTGTTTCCTTCTCTGTACACAAGGCAGTTCTCTTTGCCAAACTTGTGGGGTCGCAATGGTGCATAGCGGAGTCAAAACCCCAGGCTCTGTGGAATGGTTATTGGTGTCCAGTGCTGAGTCTAATCAAGTCAACGGTGAGCAGGGAACCATTGTTGCAGAAAACTCAAGTACTGTCCCTTGAATCCATTTGCTCTTTGTGACCGTCAACTCCATATACACCCGAACACTGCACAATTGATATCACCAAATGTTTTCCTGCAAGATGGATGGCTAAGTCCTTCAGGAGCAGCTCAAAATGTTCATTTTCAGGAAGTGTGAGGCCCTTTGGTTGACGCAGAGCTAGGGGATTGCCCTCAGTATGATGCGCCACAGCAACATCAACTGGATTCTCCATGCGAGGTATTGGCCATTCGAGGCTGGAGACACGGCAGACCACAGGGCGATAATGTGAGTCCGTGAGATCAATGCCAAGGGTCCCCATATCCTCAAATATATTTCCGGCAGATTTGAAATCACCATCTGAATAGTCACCATAATCACCCAGCTAGTTGTATCAGACTCGAGATGGGCACGAGTATGCATGGCATGACTCACCGCAATCCGTTGACCAGAACACTCATCAAACTGGACCCGCCGGCCATCCAGTCTCAACCAATATGAATAGCAATTCATATCCACGAGCCCCGGCGTACCAAGGCCACCGCAATAACTCTACAATGACGCAAATAATAAGCTCCGCATGTACATGAGGGAGAAAGCACCAACAAACGTAGTTGTCCATCCGCGTGGCCCATCACAACAACCAGGACATTGGTCAATATCGATCATAAGCTTGTAATTGTCCGCCTCCCACCTACCCCAGATTACCCTGGCGGCCCAAATTGATCGGGGAAGGTGGGCATGCTTGATAAAGTGGTCGCTGCGGAGATCATCGTCGTGTTCTTGTTTGGGCATACTTCGAGCATGTTCTGCGCGTGCTTTCCACAATCGCTGATATACGCTACTAGCAAAGTCTGACCATTGCGTCCAGCTGACCTCGTGAGGTACAGCGCATTCGTCATAGACAAGGTGCACCCATCCTTTGCCGAAGCAGTATCCAAGGCCCACTGCAAATCGAGATCTAGCATCGTCGTTGGCGTAGACTATGACGATGAGATCATCTGTGTGGGACGAAAGTGTGACAGTGTCCCCTGTAAACTCGCGTGGGTAGGTGCCGCAGCGCGTGAATCCATGGTACGAGCTATGCTTGTCGTCGAGTACAAACTCTCGGTGCATCTCAATATTGGCCTCCTGATGATGAGTAAGATAGAGTGTCTTGAATGCTGGATATGTCTTGGGAGTTTCCGCGATGCGAAAGGTCCTGTCAAAGCTGGATCCAGAGAGTACCAAATCGATGGTGAACAGACCGAAACCATAACCACATGCCAGTATCGCCCTGAAATGACATGGAGAGTCGGGAAGGGGAATGACAGGAAGGCACACTTGGATACCTGCATTGTTGACAGAGAACGTGCGGAATTGCTGGCTGAGCGATCGGGCACGCCATCTCAACCAAGCAAGTCTGCACCAGTGTACTGGGTTGGTCGAGATCTCTGAGGAGCCACGCCGGATGTACCAGGGGCTGCCAAGTTCGTTCTCTTCGGTCTCCTCCATTAGTCTGTCGACGAATTCACCGGGTTCCACCTTTTTGATGTTGCCACAATACCGGAAGTCACTCGGATCGTCTGCCAGGACACTGCCCGACCGCCGAATCATTCCCAAGGGATCCCATGCAAATATGCTGTGATCGCTGGATACGCGAATGATCTCCAGCTGTAACCTCTGAAATGCCTTCTCCCCCTCGCCGTACAACATCGGCATGTTAACCTTGAACAGCCCCATCAGCGAGTATGCTCGATCTTCCACGCGTGTCGTCTTCCGGTCAGCTGCCCACGACATGATTTGTGCGACACAGAGACGCTTCGCAGCCAAGCCACCTGTCAAAACTTCGCAAGGAATTCCTGTGATTTCCTCCAATGTGGGAGCAAGGCGATGCTTGCTGCCAATAGGCGTCCAGTGCTTGTTGAAGAATTCGACTTGCTTAGGTGCAATGAGTTCCTGCAGCGTCCAGCCTCGCATGAACCATTCCGACCAACCATAGAGCTCTCCAAACTTGCCAGAATCTCGTTCAATAGAGAAGACCGAGTGGCCAACATCGCTGAGGTACGCATAGCACACATGTGCATTTTGGTACCACCGATACATCGAATTAATGGCCTCCGACAGTTCAGAGCTGCTCCGCTTGTCGATACAGCAGGTATCAATCCACAACCACTTGTAGCCATCCTTCATCGCTTGCTTACAGCTCCAGATGATCTTTTGGTAGCCGTCACGCTGCCTGACCTTGTTCCTCTTATGCTCCTCCATCTTCATCAGCCCAGTCATCTCTTCGTAACCGACCTCGTCGCCCCAGCGATGCGACAGTATCGCATAACGAGTGCCTTTGACATCAAGTTCCCTTAGGACTTCACGTTCAGGATCGGCGTGCTGGATGTTGGTTTCCCGGTCGAGAACGGCTTTCACGTCTAGTAACTTCATCTTCCTCACGAGTCAATACAAGGTTCAACTCATCAACTAGTTTTCACACGTACTCCCTAGGTGTCAGAGCCCACAGCGTATTCTTTCAGGTGGTGAGCTTCAAGTGTAAGGCAACAGGCAAATGGAAGACCTGGTCACAATCTTACGAGGGTGTACAGCGTTGGATGTGAGTGCCAACTTTGAAGCTTGTGGACGGGCATGTCTAAACCCGGCGGGCGCTCAATGTCAACATTTACACAGCTTATCAGGCACTTCAGGGAGCTCGATCTCCGCTTCACCCGCTCCCTTCAGTAATAGTTGCAATAGTATGTTCACTGACGCACCCCTGTGCACAACCCCGACATTTTGTGGCACCCTATTACTAGTGCCCCAACTGAATACAACGGTCTGATGTTGGCACACTATGTAGGAGTCCCACCTACGCATGTCACGTCACCAAGTTGTCCCCTGGATGGTAATCCAAAATTGGGTCGGCCGTCGTCGTGAGGTTTGTAGCATGGTAGAGACCCCACGTGAATATACATACATATTTATTACCAACGCACTGGTCAGTTACCGGGATGAACACACCTCGGCACAAGGTACGCATCCCTCACGATGGATGGATTATCGCGATGAAAAATAGTAATTGGAGTCCGGTCATGAGAAAGGTCGTTGCTTAAGTCATGCTGAATATATCCAAGACGTAACATGACAAGGATATCGCCCAGTTACAATTTGTTTTTGCTGCGAAATTCCTCTGCATAATGCTTCGTATTACTGGAGAATGACATCGTGCGCTCTGAACAATAAAGTGCACGGACCTGCTGAAAGGGCGCAACCTGGGTAAACACGGAAGGACGACTTGATCGATATCAGGAGCTGTGACATGTAAAGGGCGGATGTCAGCAATGTGAAGTTTAACTCGACAACGTGGCCTTAGAAAGGGGGGCAGCTCGTTGAACAGTATGGTTCCCTGACCTGGAAGGCCGATGATAGACTGCGCCACAGAAGAGACAACAGCCGGTAGACGTACCGAAGGATGGGTCGAAGGAATGCTGAGCCGTTGCCGAGCATCGTCAAGTTTCTGGGACACAATAGTTTTGAATATTCTTGCCTAACGGCAACCGGTATGAACATTGGTTAGGTCAACCCGCACAACTACCTCATGTCTTCAATGTATATGGGTTGCAATGAATCGGATTGTGGCGACAATTTTGTATGGCTTTTGCAGAGTACTTCAGTTGTGTGAGCATCCTGACAGACATTTTCATGGGGTGGCGGGGGAAGCAATCGTCATTCAAATGCTCAGGGATGGAGTTGGGCATGCTCGCACGTGTCGGCACCTGTTCTTCGCTTCGTCGGGTTCGTGCGTGACGGATGGTAGACGGACATCTGTTGAGTGTACCAGGACCCATCCAAGGTTGCTAGGCGAGCGTCCGGCCAGCAGTCGGGTTTTCTGTAATCGTTCTGAATGTTAGAAGGACACGTGAATGAGATGCGGATGTAGGCACTAACCTCTTGCGATCCAACTTTTCATAGGGCGATCGATATTCAGGAGAAGGTCGTACCATCAAGTGGTTGCTTCTACAGCGTCTAGTCGGCGCCTGCACTCCGACAAGCACTCTCCAACACCTATCTGCACGCCATTTCCATTCGACTTGCTTCCCACACCGCTTGGCAAGTTCCAAATGGACACGTGCTAAAACGCACTCGCGAGCTTTAGAGTGAGAGTTCCAAACGTAAACTTGACGTATGGGTCTGCTTGCAGCACGGTGATTAGGTCATATCCTTGTTTTCCTCCCCGTCCTCTTTGGCTCCGGTGCCGTTGCCATTCTCGTTTTCAACCGCAAAGACCGGGGACAGCACTCTCGGCGGCCCGAATAAAGCGAAGTAATTGTATTGTCAGCCAATTCGAAGCCTTCGAGTGGTTCATACCGTTCAAATCGATATTGCCAGCAGGTTGCCCCAAGGAGCCCCTGAGAGAGAAGGGAGGCCCCTCCATAAGGGACAGCTTCTGGTCAACCGGCCAGACTGTGAACGGGCCTAAACTGAACTCGAACGACCAATCCACTGCAAATGGCAGAGAAAACCACAAATGGTGTACGGTTTCATATCAGCCATGCATTGGCGAACCAGGTACGAAGGTCTAAAGCATACATGTTTTTCATCGCATGTAGATATTACTAGTGTCAACATACTACCACCTAGGGAAGCTGCCACGAGTTGCTTATACTCTCACTACTTTCACAGACCCTTCTGCGCTTTTCTCCTTGGACGCATAGTCATCATACATTCCACCTGTCTCATCCTTCTTATCGGCATCGATGTTGGGTACAGGTCCTGTGAACCAATGTATGCCGCCATACACTGGGAAGTAGTACCATACAAGGGACAACACCATTACACCACCAAAGACGACAATTGCATAATTCATATTCGCAGCGTTGGTGGTTGGCGTCGTAGGGAAGGAGAAAACGATGATCATGAAAGACATGAATACAATGGCTATAACGCCTATCGGCAAACTCTTAACACGAAAACCCATCCACGTCGTCAGTGAGTGTATGGACCGGTGGCATTTCACAGAACGGCGACTCACGAAAATGCCAAGATTGAAAGGTCCCGGCTTAAAGTCATTGTCGAATGCGAACCGGGCGAATATAGGTATCGCATACGCAACGTAGAGCGACGAATTCGACATGGTAAAGATAGCGTCGATGGCTCCTGTGCCAGCAAATGCGAGCAAGCCCAGCAGGCCTGCCATCAAAACGACAAACCAGACCGTGTTGACGGGCGTGCCAGTGAAGCTGTTTACGCGGTAAAGGATATTCGAAAGTGGAAGTGCACCGTCACGAGCGAATGCGAAGGTCTGGCGGGATGCGCCGAGAAGCTGACAAGGACGTTAAAACCTGATCACCAAAACGGAGGTGCATTTTTACCATGCTAGAACCCATCATGTACCTAGAAAAGACGGTGAGTTAGGTGGAGAGGTCGAAACTGTGGACATACGTACTGCGCGATCACTACAAACGTCCACACCGCCAGCGTGGCCTTCGTTCCGAGGCTGTTGAAAAAAATCTGGGCCATTGGCTGCCCGATAGGACTGTTGAGCGTGTACTCAATATCCGTGCCCATGCAGAAAACAAGGGCAATGTTGATGGCTATTAGCGTGAGCAGCTTGCATGTCAGACACACTAGGTTCTCTCATGATGGCAGTGGTCTATACACACCCAAGCCCAGGATCCCTGCAACAATGATGGAACTGACCTATTGACATCGAGTACTTAGTATCCTGTAGTAAGTTGGGGAAAAGGACATACAATGGCCCATGGAACGGCAGTAGCAGCGTTTGCGGCCTCCTCACTGATGTGTACAGCACAATCAAACGAACCTTTCGAACATGTTACCATTGGTCGAAGACGGTGGATTACACGGAAAATACGCACATATCGTCCAAAGTGGTGCAACCAATGAGAGGACAAAGGCAAAGCCGTTTGGCCAACCGTTCACTGGTGAATGGAGAAGCCGCTTGGTTAGTTTTTTTTTCGCCCACAACAGAAAGAATAAAAGGAAGGAGGATAGATACAATTTGTGAAGTTACCGAGGGCATAACTAGCACTGTTGATGTACTCTTTCGGTGTTGCAGCCGGAAGTACGATGATAACCGCAATGCAGAGTCTTTAACAATTCAAATTAGCACTATTGCTCACTGATCGAGTGGCGGCCGTCATGATATGATGACGATACTGACAGGATGTTTATCGCAACATAGATCGATTGTAGTCTCGCAAGGACAACGGTTCCAAGGCAGCACACAACGGCATGCGAGAGGAGTATCGCAATATAAATACCGCTGACATAACAATATTAGTGGCCAGCACGAGTAGTAGGACGAATAAAGTGACAGACTAGAGCTGGCCAGTGGTAGCGACAAAGGTTTGCCCTGATCCGATGCTTGCAGCGGCGGCAACTTGGACGGCGCAGCTCCAGTCAATTGAGGCTTGTTATCATTCCCCAATAAACATCCAGAAGACGCCAGGATGCGTCGAATTGCACAATCACGGTAAGCCATTGCAGACGGCTCCACAAAGATAGCCGAGGACGCAACTTACCGACCGACGCGATGGAACCCACCGTATTCGCATCTGTTGATAAGACCATGAGTAACACGCCGTTAACACGAAAACAGAACACACATCCAACAACCCAAGAGAGTAAGTTCCGCCAGCGGGGAGACGAGAGGGAGTAGGCCCAATAGTAGAGCTGGATCAAGCAACCATTAACACGTGCCGCTCCATCATGAGGCTGAGTACCACGAAACAACTTACGCCTCCGGATGTAGGTGCTGCGGAACCCAACTCGGCCATCGATAAACCAACGGAAAGAATGAGGAGGCTCCCTACGACCCACTATGAGAATGAAGATGAGCATATTACATTATCCACAGAGTGACTGCCAGAGTGCAGACATACTCCCCACACCATAGAAGAGGCACCACCATTTGACAATGCATAGACGAGAACAGATCTGTAAAAAAAATCAGTATTTTACCGTAGCAAGTGGAATGGCAATGGAGATATCAACAAGAACCCACGCAATCGACGGAAGAAGGCCAATGATACTGAACGCAATGCCAAACACCTGATGCCTGTCATTAGTTTCGATGCCCCCAACAGACGAACGCCTTTGCAAAAACATAAACCAATATTCTCTCACCTCTGACGGCTTGAAAGCACGTTTAAACTTCTTGTTTATAAGCCGAGCTGAGCGAGGAGCGCTTCGTCCCTCTTCGCAATGGCCTCCTTGGATGAGGATGCCCCGATACTCGGTCGGTTCATGGTCGGTTCTCAAGGAAACGATTATGTGGACCCGGGGCCCCTACGAACCCTGCGGCATATATGGACCCGAAGGGCAGAAGCGCCCGCTTATGCAAGGAATTCCCGAAATCGGGTAGCGATAAGGAAGAAGCTCACCGTAGGCTAGAAACAAACTGCTTACTGAGTGCGAGCCAATCCACGGTGACCGCGGTCGCCATCGTGGCTGACCCAGAGTCCGTGCTCAGGCGCTCAAAGGTGAAGCATTACATATCGAACATCATCACTAGGGTGTGCTGGGAGCACACCCCACCTCACGTTTCCCACATCCAGTCCGGCGTGGTTTAGTTAAGAGCCTGCTTGAGGTCTTAACCTTACAAGGGCAACTTGGAGTGGTGCATCGTGACTAAGTCAGTACTTTGTGGAGTTTGCTAGCCGAAGTCTTGGCGCGGTGCGGCTACTTCAACGTACTATGACTTACAGTTGTGTTTAACAGCCCGTATAAACAACAATCTGAAGAAATGTACTTCTCACTGGAAGTTAGTACATTTTCAATACATCTCCACCCAAGAAATGAATGTTACCTGCAGCGGAGGAACAATGTTGTACTCCGCGCCAAACTCCAACTTACTTCATGATCATTCCCCTTTTAATGTCCGAATCCTCCTTCCCACTGATCTGTGCACCTATCTCCAGTGCTCTCTTACCCTCCAGCCACAACATCGTTTCTACGGGTACCCCGTCCCGGAAGGTCGAGAGCATTCCGAGAGACATTTTCATGGGGTGGTCAAGGAAACATTTAAGGACCGACTTGGGTAGTAAGTACCTATGTATTCTTCGCTTCGTCGAATTTCGTGCATGACGCATCGTAGACCCGCCTCTACACATATAGTGGAGATACGAGGACGGCCCGGACGGGCCAAGATCTACGGTTACTATGCCCCGTCAGCAATCGCGCTTTCCGCAATCATTCCGGATGTAAAAGGATGCGAGAATTAAGATACCGAACGCAACTAACCTCTATATATATATGACGATTCAGCGCTGCACACTTGGATACCCGCATTGCTGACAGGGAATGTACGAAGTCGCTGGCTGACCGCGTGTGCACGCTGTCTCAACCATGCAAGTCTGCACCAATGTACTGGGTTGGTTGAGATCTTCCGGTAACCATGCGTGATATGCCGATGTTGCCACGACCCTGAAAGTTGCTTGGATCATCTGCCAGGACACTGTCCGACCGCTGAGTCACCCCAAAGGAATCCCATGCAAATATGCTGTGATCGTTGGATACGCGGATGATTTCCAACTGAAGCCTCTGAAATGCTTTTTTCCGCATAACATCGGCATGTTCACCCCAAACAACCTCATCAGCGGAAACACCGATCTTCCACACGCTCCGTCTTCCGGTCAGCTGCCCACGACATGCTTTGTGCGAAACAGAGATGCTTCGCACCCAGGCCATCTCTTAAAACTTCACATGGAACTCCGTTGATGTCTTCCAACAGGTGCCAGTTGTCGTTTGTTGCCAATGGGCACCCAGTCCTTGTTGAAGAATTTGAGTTGCTTCGGTGCGATAAGTTCCTGTAGTGTCCAGCCCCGCATAAACCATTCTGGGCGCAGCCGACTGTCGGGCTTGCAGAGTAAGTCGCCGTATGGATCGTATGGTTCAGTGGGCCGTGGTAACTCGTCAGCGTCACGGAGGTACGCATAGCAGATCTGTGCGTTTTGATACTACCAGTACATCGAATCAATGGCCTCTGATAGTTCTGAAGTTCGGAACTATCGGAGGCCATTAATCGAACTGCTCTGCTTGTCGATGCAACTGTAACAGAGGTATCGATCCACGACCACCCGTAGCCGTCCTTCTTGGCCTGCTCACAGCTCTTGATGATCTTGTGATAGCCGCCACGCTGCATGACATCGTCTCTCTTCCACTCCTCCATCTTCATCAGCCCAGTCATCTCTTTTTAAGTGACCTCCGAGTTGGCTCCCTAGCGGTGTGATAGTATCTTCCGTCCAATGGTAATGATGTCTCCGCTGACCCAACCATGTGCCATCCCACCAGGATGGGTGGAAGAGTTACGCAAACGATCATTGTATACACGCCTGACATTTCGTGATACTCTAGGAATAGTCTGACTGACGCTGTACAAGCTGCATATATAACGGCAGGGCGGCGCGCCGACTGAATGTAGCAATTTCATGTTGGTATACTCTGTGGGAGTCTCACCTATGTATGTCAAATCCAAATTTGCGGAGTGGATGATGATCGTAGGGTTTGCAGTACAGCAGTGACTCCATATGAGGATATACATATCTATTACCGACGCATTAGTCTGCTAAAGCACAGCTCAAGGCACACTTCCCTTGCGATGTGATGCACTATTGCAATATGAGACAGTAACTTGCTGTGAAATTCCTCTGCATAACGCTTCGTATTACTAGTGGATTTCATCGTGCGTTCTGAACAACAAGGGGCACGGATCGGCAAAAGGGAGAAGCCTGCGTAAACATGGAAGGAAGACTTCCCTGGTCCCTTTTAGCAAGGGGTTTTGGGTGTCCGCTAGCCGAGAGGGATAGTGGTCGGATTGACAACGTCGTCCGAGGGAAACATTAACAATATAAGGAGCCATTACTAGTGAAAGGCGGACGGTGATAATGTAGACGATGGCTCGACAGCATGCTCATCCACTCCCGCATACACCTTGTGACAAGGGTGGATTAGGGTATTTTCGATAAAAAAAACTGTTGGTCATCAACGACGGGTGTGCATTGTCGGGGAGGCAGCACGTTGAATGACATAGTCGCCCCTCCCGGACGGCCGATGATAGACTGGTCGGCAGAGAGATGACAGCTGGTTGACGTGCCGAAGGGTGGGCCGAAGGAATGCTGAACCGCGCTCGAAACATCGAGTATTGGGTACACAGCAGTGTCGAACGCCAGTGTGAACTTTGGTCAGGTCAACGCGTATGACTACATCGGGTCCTCGACGTATGAGTTGCAGTGCATCCGATCCATCTCAACTACTTGTCCCCTTCTAGGGAGGCGTTCTTGGCAAGGCATGCCCTTCTTGCTTGTACGTATCGGTTCTGCGAGCATCCCGAGACATTTTCAGGGCGCGGTCGAGCAAGCGTTCGTCATGAAAACGTTCAGGGATGGACCTGAGTATGCTCGCGCGAGTTAGTACCCGTTCTTCGCTTCATCGGATTTCGTGCGTGACGCATCGTAGACGAGCTGTCAATGAGGATATCAGAACGACATCTAAGGTTACTAGGTGGGCGTCCGGCCAGCAGGCGCGTTACCTGCAATCATTCCGAACGTTAGAAGGATACGAGAATGAGATGCAGACCACCAATCTCTATGACGATCCACCTTTCCATAGGGCGGTTAAGACCCAGGGGGAAATCGTACCACCGAGCTGTCATTTTCAACTTTAGTGCACAGTTTCTCGTCTGCGCCTGCACCCCGACAACGTGATTTTCAACGCCTACCTGCACACCATTTCCATTTGATTCGTTTTCTACTCCACCTGGCGAGTTCCATATGGATACATGTTAAAACGTACCTACGAACTTTAGGGACGCCAAACGTGAGCTGGACGTATCAGTTTACTTGCAGCACGGTGTTTGGGGTGAAGTGCAGCGAGCAAGTGATGGGGCTGGGGGCAGGCGGGAAAAGCGTACACCGATGTGATTACCGGCGCGTTTGTGGACGCGTTGGGAGAGGTTGTGACATGATGTAGCACGAAAATTGCAGTCATCTATGCAAGAACACCAGAGGTGAATCGCTGGCATGAAGAGAACCAAAAGTATCTTGGACAGTCGGCATGAAATACACGCACTGTCTACACGGAGAACTTCACGTGTCTGATCAACTTCAACTTCTTGCTGTCAGTATTTCGTTGAGCTCATTGCTGAAGGCATTCGTGTCGGAAGGAAGGTGGACTCGGCGTACTATCGTTGTCAGAGTCTCCCTCATAATGAAGACCAAAGACTCTACCACCCTGGACAGTCCGGCATTACCAACGCATTCCATTTCACCCTGGCCACTCCTCGTCTCGGCTAGTCCACAGCGCCGGAATTTTCCGGAGTGCATGAAGACTCAACAGAGTTGACTAGCATGGAAGTCTTTCGCAAGCGCGATATACGCTAGTGCACGATTGGTATATCAAGAACATCAGGAAACGGGCGCCCGGAGAATGAGAATGAGGGTATGTATATAGAATGTGCGCATATTTTTTTGATTCCACGTTCCACACCACTGTCCTCATCCCTCAAGCCGGGCAGCACTCGATCTCAATCGACTTCGTGATCAAGCCTTCGTCTTCATTCGTGAGAATCTAAACGAAAACACCATGCTGCGAAAAGTAGCTTGTAGTTTTGTTAGAGGGTTTGTGCGCGCACTTCATATGCTGGCCTGTGCACACTCATAGAGCGGTAACATGGTCAGGTATCCAGATGTTCTTGAATTTGAGCTCAGCTTCCTTGCACAGAAATTGGTAACCGTCCAAGGTTTCCCACAGTTCGAGCATCGATAAGAGCAAGTTGGCCCACAGAGCCGATGTCTTTATTAGACTTCACACTCGGGTTCTTAACAACCACCAACTTGCCTGTACAAGCTCACTGACCGAGCCCGCCACGAGCGTCTCGGTGACCCGACCCACGACGACAGTCCTGCCGACCTTGTCTTGCACTGGCTACTTCATCCCTATTTTCATCTCCTCTGTGGTACCGGCGCCGTTTCCGTTCTCGCTTCGAACCACAAAGACTGGGGGCAGCACTTTCGGCGGCCCGAATAAAACGAAGTGATTGCATTGTCAGCTAATTCCAAGCGTTCAAGTGGTTCATGCCATTCAAATTGACATCGCTAGCATGTGCCCCCAGGAGCCTCAGAGAGAAGGGACGACTTCTGTTCAACCGGCCAGACTGCGAACGGGCCTAAACTGAACTCGACGAACGACAGGCCAATGCAAACGGCAGAGAAAACCACAAATGATCTGCGGTTTTATATCAGCCATGCATGATTTTACAGTCATGCATTGACAAACAAGGTACGAAGGTCTAAAGCACACATGTTCTTCATCGCATATAGACATTGCTAGAGGCATACTACCGCTTTGGGAAGCTGCCACAAGTTGCTTATACTCTCACTACATTCACAGCTCCTTCTGCGCTTTTCTCCTTGGACGCGTAGTCATCATACATCCCACCGGTCTCATCCTTCCTATCGGCATCGATGTTGGGTACAGGTCCTGTGAACCAATGTATGCCGCCATACACTGGGAAGTAGTACCATACAAGGGACAACACCATTACACCACCAAGGACGACAATTGCATAATTCATATTCGCAGCGTTGGTGGTTGGTGTCGCAGGGAAGGAGAAAACGATGATCATGAAAGCCATGAATGCAATGGCTGTGATGCCTATCGGTAAACTCTAAAAAATCCCATCCACATCATCAGCAAGTGCATGGACCACTGGCATTCCACAGAATGGCGACTCACGAAGATGCCAAGACTGAAAGGTCCCGGCTTAAAGTCATTGTCGGACGCGAACCGGGCGAACATAGGTATCGCATACGCAACGTAGAGCGACGTAATCGACATGGTAAAGATGGCGTTGATGGCTGCTGTGCCAGCAAATGCGAGCAAGCCCAGCAGACCTGCCATAAAAACGACGAACCAAACCGTGTTGACGGGCGTGCCAGTGAAGCTGTTTATGCGGTAGAGGATATTCGAAAGTGGAAGTGCGCCGTCACGAGCGAACGCGAAGGTTTGGCGGGACGCGCCGAGAAGCTGACAAGGACGTTAAAACCTGATCACCAAAACGGAGGTGCATTTTTACCATGCTAGAACCCATCATGTACCTGGGAGGGACGGTGAGTCAGGTGGGGAGATTGAAACTGTGGACATACGTACTGCGCGATCACTACAAACGTCCACACCGCCAGTGTGGCCTTCTCCCCGAGGCTGTTGAAAAAAATCTGGGCCATTGGCTGCCCGATAGGACTGTTGAGCGTGTACTCAATATCCGTACCCATGCAGAAGGCAAGGGCAATGTTGATGGCTATTAGAATGAGTAGCTTGCATGTCAGACACATCAGGTTCTCTCGTGACGGCAGTGGTCTATACACACCCATGCCCAGGATTCCAGCAACAGTGATGGAGCTGACCTATTGACATTAGGTGCTTAGTATCCCGTAGTAAGTCGGGGGGAAAGGACATACGATTGCCCATGGAACGGCAGTAGCCGCGTTTGAGGCCTCTTCGCTAATGTGTACAGCACAATCAAACGAACCTTCCGAACATGTTACCATTAGTTGAAGACGGTGCATTACACGGCATATACGTACATATCGTCCAAAGTGGTGCAACCAATGAGAGGACAAAGGCAAAGCCGTTTGGCCAACCATTCACTGATACATGGGAAGGCCGCTCGGTTAGTTTTGTTTTCACCAGCAACAGAAAGAAAAAAAAGCAAGGAAGATAAATACAATTTGTGAAGTTACCGAGGGCATAACCAGCACTGTTGATGTACTCTTTCGGTGTTGCAACCGGAAGCACGATGATAACCGCAATGCAAAGTCTTTAACAATTCGAGTTAGTACTATTGCTCGCTGATCGGGTGGCGACCGTCATGAAATGGCGATGATACTGACAGGATGTTTATCGCAACATAGACCGATTGAAGTCTTGCAAGGACAGTGGTTCCAAGGCTGCACACAACGGCATGCGAGAGGAGTATTGCAATATAAATACCACTGATGTCACAATATCAGCGATCAGCACCACGAGTAGCAGGACAAATAAGATGACAGACAAGAGTTGGGCATTAGTAGCGACAAAGGTTTGCCCTGATCCGATGCTTGCAGCGGCAGCAACTTGAACGGCGCAGCCCCAGTCAATTGAGGCTTGTTATCATTCCCCAATAAACGTCCGGAAGACGCCAGGACGCGTCGAATGGTACAATCACGGTAAGCCAGTGCAAACGGCTCTACAAAGATAGCCGGGGACGCAACTTACCGACCGACGCGATGGACCCCACCGTATTCGCATCTGTTGATAAGACCATGAGTAAAACGTCGCCAGCACGAAAACAGGACACACAGCCAACGATCCAAGAGAGTAAGTTCCGCCAGCGAGGGGACGAGAGGGAGTGGGCCCAATAATAGAGCTGGACCAAGCAACCATTAACACATGCCGCTCCATCACGAGGCTGTGCATCATGAAACAACTTACGCCTCCCGATGTAGGTGCTGCGGAACCCAACTCCGCCTATCGACAAACCAACGGAAAGAATGAAGAGGCTCCCTACGGCCCACTATGAGAGTGAAGATGAACATATTACATCACCCAAAGAATGACTGCGAGAGTGCGGACGTACTCCCCACACCATAGAAGAGGCACCACCATTTGGCAGCGCATAAACAAGAACAGATCTGTAAAAAAAAATCAGTGTTTAACTACAGCAAGAGAAACGACAATGGAGATCGACAAGAACCCACGCAATCGACGGAAGAAGGCCAATGATACTGAACGAAAGGCCGAACACCTGATGCTCGTCATTAACTACAATGTCCCCAAAAGACGGACACTTCGCAAAAACATAAACCAATCTTCTCTCACCTCTAACGGCTTGAAAGCACGTTTAAACTCTTGTTTATAGCCGAGCTGAGCGAGGAGCGCTTCGTCCCGCTTCGCAACCGCCGCCTTGGATAGGGATGTCCTGATGCTAGGTCGGTTCATGGTCGGCTCTCAAGGAAACTACCATGTGGAATTGGGGCTTTTCACTAGCCTGACACATATGCATCCGAAAGGCGCAAGCGTCCGCTTATGCGAGGAAACCCGATACCGGATGGCGATAAGGAAGCAGCTCACCGTGGGCTAGAAATAACTGTTAGTACTGAACTTACTGCATGCGGTACACTGATTGGTGGCCGATCGTGGCTGACTTGGACTCCGTGCTCAGGTGCTCAAGGGTGAAGCATTGCATATCGAACATCGCTAGGATATGCTGGGAGTACAACCCACTTCATCTTTCCCACATCCAGTCCGGCGTGGTTTAGTTAGAGCCTGCTTGAGATCTTAACATACAAAGGCAACTTTGAGTTGTACATTATGACTAAGCCAGTACTTCGTGGAGTTGCTAGCCGCACCGCGCCAAGACTTCAACGTACTATGACTTCCATACAGCTACAATTGTGTTTAACAGGCCATATAGATAACAATCTGAAGATATTTACTTCTCACTGGAAGTTAGTACATTTTCAATACATCTCCACCCAGTGAATCAATGTTACCTGTGGCGGAGGAGCATTGTACCCAGTGCCAAACTCCAACTTAGTTCATGATCGTTGTTCCCCTTCCAGTGTCCGAATCCTCTTTCCCCTGATCTGTGCACCCAACTCCAGTGCTCTCTTACCCTCCAGCCACAACATCGCCTCTACGCATGCATCCAAGACAACACCGTCATTCGTGATAGTACAGTAAAGAATTAAGTACATTACCTTGGTATGTTTTCGGAACGATAATCCTCGGCGTCGACTTGCCATCGTCCCCGGCCCATGTAAACCGGAAATCATTCGTAGTCTCATCATGTCCTGTCTGCACATTGACTACACTAGCTACGACGCGGACATGCTATCACGTACACAATATGGTCAGTATGCTTGGGTAAAAAAATCACACATCAGTCACCATACCACAGTAGCTGGAATTTCCCCCGGTAGGCTTGTGTGAAGGATTTGTGACCGTAGGCGCAGAATTGACCCGATGGGAACAGGTTGCGTGAACGAGATCCCATCCAACGAGTGGAAAGTGACGTGTGAACGCATGAAGAAGCAGGCATTTGCAAAACCGAGCTAGGGATACATCAAATGTTTGTGCTAGAGAAACCGTCAAAATAATGCACTCCTCACCTCATATGCGAGGCGCATGAGATATCCTAGACAATAGGAATGATGAGGCCACTTATATTGCGCACAGGAACACCTCACCTCCGAACACTTTCTGGTGAACGCTACGGGTACGTTAGCAGATTGTCTCTGATGCTCATGCATTTGGCTTAACTTACTTGCGTTCTTGGGGGAACATTAGCATTGTTTTTTCCAACAAGGTGTCCCCCATCCACACCCTGTCACCTCGCAACAAAGAATCGTCTTCTTGGCCACACTTTAGATATGTCGTGTGCAACTCCGCTGCTTCAGCTGAGCTTGGCGGGACACGTGACAGCGCTTGAAGGGCAGCGTATTTCCTCCGATCTTTCGAGCCTTTTCGTGTCATGAACACTCAAAACGGACGGGAAAAGTATCACAAGAGACTGACTTTCACCTATCTTATAAAGCGCTTCTTCCTCCGGAGTTCTGATTATCAGTGGGATGACTGGATGTGCCTTGTGCGTGCGAGCGTTTCTGCAAACCATGGAGAATCGGCCTGTACGCAGATTTGTTAAGTCTAGCACAGAAGACAAAAGAGGTGTGTTCACACCAAGCATCAGTGTCTCCTCTCCTCCATCTGGACTAAGCGCCTCCATTTTGACGGCGACTTCCATGGAACTTTTACCAGTGTATATTCACTTGACCACTAAGACGAGTGTCCCTGACAGGATAGAGGGAGGCAAGCATATCTAGCCTACCCGCCTTGAATTAGTGCACCAGACCATCAAATATGAACCCACCTCTCGACAGAAGCCGTGACAATGTAAAACCCTCTCTCTTGCAGGCGACCCAAAGTTTCCACGCTCGGGCCGAGCATGTGCTTATATGCAATTGACCCAGCAAGCGAGTCAAGGTGCTCCATGAGCATACCAGTGCGCAACCCGCCAGACGCGTTCGTATACTGCTCAAACAACTCCGGCGACGAAGCAAAGGGAAGGACGATCTGGGAGTAGGTGTCGTGCATACACCTGGGAGGCATCGACTCAGAGGGCGGAGGCGGTGGAATTTCGGACGTAGGATACCGAGTTTGTTGCGTCGTTGAGGAGGGCTTCGGACCAAAGACCTGGCTTCCTGATGGGCACGATACTACATAGCGGTGGAACAATATTAGGTTTGTTTCTGTTTCAGGGGGGGTGGGGGGGGGGAAGTTGCGAACCTGTGGTAGGCTGGGTTGGACCGCTCCCCTTGACGGGTTTAGAGACTATCGCTACTTTTTAGTGAGCCTACACTCACTGACAACCCGCAACAACCGGTCCATCGTGTCAATGTCTCGTGTTTCCGAGGCTGCCTTGGCTTCCGTGGTACTTGCATCCTGCAATCTGCAAGACGAGGAGGATATCGCACGGCGTCCAAGTAGCGGCGTGTCTCGAAGCGGCAGGGTAGAAAGGTTCCGCGACAGAGAGCGAGTATGAAAGGCGTTGCGCAACGTCAACATTATTTGCGATAGAAGTGAAGCAGGGCGTCAACTGACAAATTAGCAGTTGTCCTCGACAGTCGCCGATTTACGAAGTGACAACCAAGTATACTACGGCCGCCGTGTTGAACTCGACGAAATCTTTTCTGACAGTCGATAAACTCTCGTTAACTATGCATGCGTGCTATGATATGTCTCAGAGGTAACCGGTGAAGTCTCTTTAGTGGTCATTTCGTGTCACTTCATGTCATGATCATCCCACCTAGCATCTGACATCCGAAGAGTCAGGCAGGAATGTTGAGAGCGGCAATAATGCTGTTGTGGGGCGCTAAGCATTTACAGGCTAGAGTAAGTTGAATCCGGCATAGTGCATAACCTTGTATAACGCAACATTCCAGTATGCAGGTCCGGCAGCCAACTTTCACTCTGCCGGTTTGGAGCTCCCGCTCTCGATGTCGAGAGACTTGTCTCAGTGATGCTTCAGCCACAATAGTGCAGCAGAACGCTGCACAGCGCAGGCGCATGTTGCGGGTAACTCACATTTGACACTGAACCGAACAGGTCAAGGTTCTGGAATGCGTATGAATGCAAGCCCGTCCGTTGTAACCCAGAAAGGGGCTGTTCTGCAATGTGTTTCATGATTGGCCATCGTCATGTGGCCTCAAGGCCTCATGAGGCACTCGGGTAAGCGGGGAAGCTCATTCAATATTTGACAGCTTGCGGGGAAGCTTCCACAATCAGTGCAGCGTTTCGCATCACTGATCGGCAGCCATCATATACCTTAATTAGCGGTGTCTTTGGTTTGCACGCGAATGTATGTATTAGTTTTCTTTGGCCTCATGGTGGATGACTTTAGAGCGATTTTACAGGTATGCAGCCCGCAAGAGTCTAGACCAAGTCATGGTTTGTCGGAGGCTAAGCCCAAATCCTAATACTGGCGGTGGTACCGTTATCATAATTCATCTCACGGCCGAACCTCGCGGACGATCAGGAGGGCACTGACGATACATTCACGTACACTGGAGTTCACACGAAGGTAGAGCGGGGGCCGTGACTGAGGCGTGCCATGCCCTCTAGGAAGTCGCATACGGCATACAATAACAATTACCAGCTTTCTCGTCCAAGCCTAACCCCGAAATTTGCAAGTCTCAAGACTCAAGGCTCCAAAACCTTTCTAGAATGGCACCCTAACAAGCGAGGAGCTATTCCATACAAATCCAAGCTACTCGATATCTGATCAGCTGACTGTAGTAATCGTCACTTGCAGGGCCTATAAAATGGTCAACGTAGAGAGCAGTACTGCGTGCCAACGCGTGCCCTCTTCTCCTGCCTGCTATGTTCCGGTTTAGAGTCTCTCTTGCAACCGTTCTCCTAAGCCTCCTTATTGGCGCAGTCGCCCAGGATGCTAATACCACTGTTTGTCAATCCAACCTCACGATGGCTGGAGCAGCCCCGAATAACACCAAGGTCCTCATCCTTGGTGGTGGTATGGCTGGCGTCATAGCAGCCCGTACGCTTCATGAACAGGGTATCGACGACTTCGTGATTGTGGAAGCCAAACCTATATTTGGAGGGCGTATGGCGCAAACGAAATTCGGTGTCAACGGATCCCAATACGTCCTTGAGAAAGGACCAAACTGGGTCCATGGAACCCAAACAGGTAGTGGCCCCGCTAATCCCGTCTGGCTGCTGGCGCAGAAACACAACTTGTCCATGGTAGAAAGCGATTTGTTTACGAATATAAGTGTGTTTGGCGTTTATGCTATCCGTTGTTTCCATCTCCGTGCGTGGTACTCATTTTTCTGCAGCGTTCTTCGATTACAATGGGCCTAACGACTACTCCGCGACTTTCGACGCGTCATTGACTGCCTTCAACGACGCCATAGTCCTTGCGGGTGCGGCAGACCATCTTTGTGCTCTCATATCATCCTGACGATACGAAATAGGAGAACGGTGGCAGCAGAACAAAACTGATCTGGACCTCAGATCAGCATACAATTATATGGGCGTTGCTCCGAAGACGCCGCAAGAGCAGGCTTGCGAGTACTATCAGATTGACTATGTATGTATTCGTCTTTAATAATAATTTTGGTCTGATGCCCGCTTCAGGAATGCAAGTTTTATACTTCCTTTTCTTCGTCCCTTTAAACTGATCAGTTTTTCCCTGAATCGGAAATCAGATGCACAGGTAAGCTAGGTTGCCTATCGTGCATTCACGAGATATTGACCATTCTCATAGGACGCCTCGCAAACGTCAACATTAGCCGCTGCTTGGGTGAGTACCCACTAATGCTTATATGACATCTCTTGTCTAATGGAGGACAGAACTACAACTACACTTTTGTTCCTGAAGCCGGAGGTTTTTCGGATGTAGACATGTTGTGCGTGGACCAACGCGGCTTTGCATGTATTGTCCAAGCGGAAGCTGCTACCTTCCTCAACACGAGTCAGGTGCTCTTCAACCAGATTGTCAAGACCATTCAATACAATCAGAACGAAGTGACCGTCCAGACGACAGATGGATACAACCTCACTGCAGATCACGCCCTGGTCACGTTTAGCGCCGGCGTGTTGCAAAACACTGACGTCGTCTTCGACCCCGTGTTGCCAGACTGGAAACGAGAGGCTATCAGTAGCATAGAAATGGTAAGATAATCAAATCACCGAAGGTCATTTTCCTAACGTCCAAGTTAGCCGGTGTACACCAAGATCTTCTTGCAATTCGAGAAAAAATTCTGGTTCGACACTGGGGTAGGACTTTATGCCGATCAACAAAGAGGCAGATATCCGATATGGGAGAGTTTAGATCTTCCGGGCCTTTTCAACGGCTCTGGGATCATCTTCGTTACCGTGACGGTAAGTTGTCGTTGGCTGTGCCATTTCCTCGGCTCATGAGGTCAAGGGTGATTACGCAAACTATCTTGAGCAACTCAACAAAAACATAACGCAAGTGCAGCTAGAGGTGATGGAGGTTCTTCGGAGGATGTACCCTGACGCCCCCGATCCAATCGATATCTGGTTGCCTATGTGGGGTAGAGATCCCTTGTTCCGTGGCTCGTACTCTAGCTGGGGAGCATCCTTCGTACCTGAACACGCGTACAATCTGAGTGTTCCAGTAAACGGTCACCTTTGGTTTGCAGGTGAAGCTACCAGCGTTAAATATTTCGGTTAGTCTCGATCTCTCTTCCGTGGCTATCCGCTAACCACGTAGGACGTAGGCTTCTTGCATGGCGCATACCTCGAGGGTCAGAACGCGGCGAACAACATCGCTGCGTGTATCAAAAACCCTCAGCGTTGCCCGCCTACTACATGACGCCACGGTTTGGAACATCCGGTCCTACCCAGATAGTTTGCAATAGGCACCTTCGAGATTCTTCCAGCTGTATGATAGGAGCGGAAATGTTTCTCTGCATATGCTCCCGCCTCCTGTGGTATCTGTAACTCTGTACAACACTACTCTCTGTACAATCGAACTTTTTTGACCGTTTCTTCCACTGCGCAAACTTCCATGGTACTATTTTTCTAAGGGTCCTAAATACTAAGTTCTGTTTGACACTGGATGTCCGTACGAAGCTGACAGCAATCACCATCAACATTTTGTGTGATCCTCTGGGGTATGTCCCGTCGGATGTCAGTCACAACAAAGTGGGACAACCTGACTCGGACATTATGAGAGGCCCAACTCCAACCAGCATTCGGACTTTCCGACCGTCATGTCTTATATTCCATCTGCAGCGCTATGACGATGTAAATGAGTGCATGGAACGTCCCCCTGTCCTCTAAGGCACTCGGGATCTTAGGGATATTAGGGTACTTTGGTCTACGGTCGCCTTCTTCAAATCATCATTACGAACGAATCAAACATTCATGGTACATCTGCAAATGTAAGCGAGGTCTAAGAGACTCTTAGAGCCCCCATTTAGCAAGTAGTACAAGCGCTGTCTAAGTTGTGATGTAAAGTGATATTCTTCGCTCTTCATTAGATTATCACACAATGCAGTGATGTATTGGATATGCTATTGCTCGTCTGATTGGTACATGACATTATCTAACACTATCAAAGATGTGATAAGATGTTAAGGAGCTCCTATCATCTCCTTTCCTCATGCAATCAAATCATCCACCAACATGGTGTAGTCCAGAAGTTCAGTTCCCTGCAAGTTCATAATACGATGGGTTATACTTCGATGTATAGCATGATTGTCCTTGAGACTGAATTCAAGTGCCAAAAACATTCTGCTGGAATATTCTCTGAGTGCCAGTCACAAGGCCATGCCTGCAAGGGCAATCACCACTTTGAGGTCCCTTCACTCGGTGTCGACAAACCTACAATACTGCTTCTCTCCCCACAGGAGATTGAGGACAAGTTGTACAAGTGCAGGGTGGCCAAAGGGAACTACAGTGATGCTGTCACTGGCTGCACACTTAAGATGATTGAGTACACACATCAAATGGAGAAAGGATTTGTACCATTTTAGGTTCATCTAGCCATATGAAATCTTTGAGGAGGTATGGGATCCAGTCTTTGTGTAGCTGCACCTCTTCACTGCACCTTTGTACTGGAACTGTGAGGCTGTAGAGTGGTAATGCCAGGATGTGCACAGCACTCCTGAAGTCAGAGTGTATGTTTGTCACGACCTCCTTCAACTTGTTTGTCTCACTCATTATGTTGGTTCTTAACCAGTTGCCTGCAGCAGCTGTCAGATTGTCAACAGCAATGTTCACAGGCTTACCTCCGGTGTGGCCTAATGCAGTTTCCTGCAATGCCTGTGTAATTATCACAGATAATTCAGATTTCTTAGGCAGGAGGTTTGTAATAAAAAGGCACCGCTTCAGGTTGAAACACACAGCTGTGCTGATGTCAGCTGCTTGAAGTCCTGGGTTGATAGTGGCTGAGCTGCTAGCGTCTGGTGTTGGATGTACTGTGGGCAGTGAAGCTGAGGTGGAGCCTCATGCAATACTCTGTGTTGTTTGACCAACTTGCTGTAAAACATGTTAGAGTTGCTTACATACATTTGCTACAATTCTTAGTACTTACTTGAATAACAGATTTCCTGGTGATGACAAAATGCTGGTTGGATACTTCCTCTCCACCTCGAAGGGGCCTTTCGATGTGCCTGATGTGTTGTGTTTGAGGGGAATACAGAAAGATGCAGGATGATAAGTGGTTTAGCCACCTTGTGACAAGGGCTGAGGGTGCATAATTGAAATTTAGGGGCAAATATGGATATGCTGTTGAACCCATTGGATGTCCAAGATCCATGGGGATTGGTGGTGCAGTGCTGTAGCTAGTGTTGGCAGGATTGAAGGGGACCAGTGGGGCAGTGCCATAGCTAGCATTGGTGAGATTGAAAGGGACCAGTGGCACAGTGCTGTAGCTAGTGTTGGCAGGATTGAAGGGGAGTGGCAGTGCAGCACTGTAGCTAGCATTGGCAGGATTGGAGATTGGGGGATGAGGGTGTTCATGTCTGGTGTCTGTGGTAGTTAGGAGACCTTGATCATGGTCATCAGGGTACTGATATTGAAGAAAGTTCACTTGAGACTGCAGTTGCTGGTCAATTGCTGATGCTGTCAATGGTTGCTCATCTGCAATGTTCAGCTGGCTTGCTGCTGGGTTTCCCACTGGGTTCAAACCAGATGAAGCAGGGTACTTTGGCCTCATCTGTAAGAAACCGAAGTGTTTGTGTCTTTTTCTGAGCACACAGATTTGCTCACCTTTGCTTTTTTGCTTTTTGCCTGTGAGCTCATGGTGGTTGAAAACACAATGCATCCTTGTCCAGGAGACATTGTGGCTTACACATGTGTATCTTATCACATATATTGGGCATCAATCAAATACAAATTTGTATATGGGGAAAGCATGGAGAGTTTCATTACGCAATGCAGAATGATCATGCTAATTGACTAAAGAAAAGAAAGAAAAAAGAACAAATAGCCACTGAGGCTGGCATGGTGGTTAGAGTTGTGATGATGCAAAGAAGAATAGAGGCTTACCAGAATAATCATGATCAATTTTCACTTTCATCTTCTTCACTCACATCTGTGTCACTTTCATCAACATTACAGCTGTTTGCAAAATGATGCGGAAAATCTGTTTGACAATTAGTCTGTTTGGATATAGCCAGGATAGGACCCTGAAACCACCTCTATGGTAACATTGTGTAGTGTAAGCACATACTTAGACTTCGTCCCTATGGCAGACTTGTTTCTCAACATGTCATCACCATTGCGATCCCCCACTCCCTGTCACAGAAAAATTACATTCTTTCATGATTTCACTTTCTGTCTATGGACCCAAGAAAAAGGAGAAGGGAAAGACTGTGCCAAAAGCGACCATGAAGACAAAAGAGCTTACTTTTGCTGTCAACGATACTAACTACCTCGATTTTCTACAGCATGTACTGGACAAGCATGGTCAATGACAATATAGGGTCTCAAGCAGTAAACATTTTCCCTTCAAGTTTGTACTGCCCAAAGTGTGGAGGTAAGTCATTTCTCACTCTGCAAATCTGTGCTAACCATGCTTTACCTTAGCCAAGCCTGTCAGTAATGCGATCGATGTTGATAATGAAGTTGACTACAAGGATATGGTCAAGAGGATTCAGTAGTGTTCACCCTGGCCCAACGAAGATCTACATCAATATGAAACATGTGGAGAAACTTCTGACTATCGATGGCTCTGGAGACGAGAGCAACTCATCTGGTGAGGATAGTGGAAAGCAGAAACATTCAGACCTTGATATGCACCTTGCCTGGTGGCACATGAAACTCCTGAGCCAGTACAAGAATGAGAATGACAAGGGAATGACTTACTGTCAGGGCCAGTAGGGCCAATCCCCCTTTCACCTGTGATGGTACTGGACTGGTGCCATGCATTGGTAAGTCTTTCACTACTCATGAACATTCTATCCCTAAACTATCTGTAGGATGAAGGGCAAGCTACATTGTCAGGTTCCCCCAAACCTTGAGTCTTTCAATTGGAGCAACAAAGCACTGTTTTTGCATCCAGCCTGCAAAGTGCAAGCCCAGGCATCAGCAAAATATTGATATCAACTCTATTACTGGTGTTCTCCTTCTTCAGACACTTGCAAATTCCAGCCTCTTGTCACCCAGTGTATCTAGTGCCCGCACTTCTCCAGTTCCGCCTCCTGTGACACCCAGCATGCATGCCACAGGATCCTCCCATTTCACCACCCATCCCATCTCCATCTCATCTCTCCCACTTTCTTCGCTATGCTGAATCGAACCTCGGTGTTCACAATGCCACCCTCTATGAATGGGAACTTGAACTGCAGTCAATCTGGACCTGACATCCTCATGGATATCGATGACCAGACACTTGCTAGGGCTGGTATCGCCACTGGTGACATCATTCATCTCAAGAAGGGAAGTTTACTTTGGTGGAATGGTCCTGATGTGAAGAGGAAGCATAGCTGACACTGGGGCATCAGTCAGGCAACTGAGTGAGTGGGCCAAGCCTCATCCCCACCCACCAGGCCATCGAAGAAGATTGCATATGAGAAGCTGATTCAAGGACAGTGGTGGGTGTCATTTCACAGCATCTCTGATGATGATCGACAAAGATGATGATGGTAGCAAGCCAGCCCCTGCTCGACTACGACCTTTATTATCACTGTGAGAGTCAAGATCAGTGGTTACCTGTGCCCTGGGGTTTCATTCGTCGATGAGACTGGGGAGGAATCAGAGGATGACGTTTTTTCTACATAATGCCTACATACCTTGCTTCATGTAATGCCTGTGTCACATACATAGGTATCATATCAATTGCAATGTTGGCCTAGAGGCCATTTTTCACATTCATACTACATTGAACCTGCATGCAAAATCAACTGGTAATTGAAGGGGGAATCTACTTAGACACAGTGATACAGTCACTACACTATGTACCCAGATGCGCGGAAATAACCCTCAGCCTTTTCAGGCATAATACTTTGACATGCACAAACAATTTCCATCATTGATAAGTTGTCTGAGTGGTGATGCAAGTATGCCTTGATTGTAGAAAATGCTTGCTTGATGGGGTTGTAGTCTGGTGAGTATGGTGGGAGATAGATCAACTTGCAGACTGTGAGATGTCAGCAAAAGAAATATCAATTGATGGATAGTCACATACAATGCATATCTTCAACTAACTTGCAAATTTCCTCACTGTGGTGAATGCGGCAGTTGTCCATAATAATAACACTGCAGGGGCCAGGATATGGGTTGGTAAAAGGCATCTGTTGGATAGATTAGCATGTACCTGGCTTGAAGATGATTCACTTATGACATGCTCCTTCAGAAATCACAGAAATCACTCTCCATCAACAGCGCCCTCAATGATATTGTATGTGATGATGCCATCAAGTGTGATGGCAGGGAGAATAGAGTAGCGCATTCCATGTACAAAGTACCTCCTGACTTGGCAACATAGACCTCTGACTGTTTGCCCATGTGGGCGAGTGGAGGTACACTTGTCCTTGGAAGCTTCATCAATGAAGACGAGCATATTTGGGTCTGGCGCTTCTGCTGCGATGCTGATTCATGTAGAGCACACATGACTCCTTGTTCCTCTCAGAGGCAGATGCAGAGATGACCTTCTGAGTGATGTGGAGGCCCTGAAGAGTTCAAGAAAGTGTAGATGGAGTGATACTGAACTTGATGCTTGAGCCAGAGCTCCTCTCGAAGCTCATCTAGGTAGATTGTGCTGTGATGTTGAATGATGGCAAGGATAAATGTGATGTCTTCGAGGCTGAGAATGCAACGACTGACTGATGGTATGGGAATAAGTGTTTGGGTTGTACATGACACCATACTTGGTGTGAAGTCTGAGAGTTTTGTAAACGAGTGTTTTCTTGATGCCTAGAATACTACAGATTTGCTTGATGCTATAGCCATTTTGGTGAAGGACAGGAATACTGAGACTTCGAGGTCGATGGATACCATGTGAGAGGGCATGTAGGGCAGTATGTTCGATTCTTAGTGTACTACAGTAACAGACAGTAGCTACCCACTAAGGTACTTCTGGGGTCCTATCCCGGCTATATCCGAACAGTCTGATTGTCGAACAGATTTTCTGCATCATTTTGCAAACAGCTGTAATGGAAGTGGCCAAGAAGGCCATCAGATTATCTTTGGAGTCGAGCACTTTGTTGTCTTCAAGTTTACCTGTGACTTCCTCCATCTGGTTGAGGCATTCATCCTCCAATGCAAGCAGCATTAAATCCTGTCCATAAGCCCCAATGTGGTATTCTTCCTCCTCTTCCAATCGACTGACTGAGCAACACTCCATGATATCCTTGAAAAACTGGAGATCTTTAGTTGACCAAAGGAACTGAGTCTCTTCTTCTTCTTGCATCACAAGGAGGAAATCTCTCTGGCAGTTGATAGCCTTGATCTCCCAAGCAGTAGTAAGAGCATGGAGTCACCTTGATTCTCAGTCAGCCTCCTTCATTGCCAAAGCCTTTTGGAAGGCTCTCTCAGACAACCCCATCAATCTGTGGACAAAAAGTGTTCTTCCCTGAATAATATTTGTAAGAACATATAGTGCATGTACAGGTATATGAGAGATTTTACCACTCATGCATCTTCCAAGGTGATATCACTAACTGATTGTCATCCAAGTGACTTCTTGGCAAAGTGGAGCTTGATAGCACTGGGCTTGCTGTGAGGTGTGAACTTGGCACAAGAATGCTCAACACTGAGCTGACAGATTATGAGCAGCAGGAGGGATAGGACACAGAAAGATTGTCCCCTGGGTAACTCTTGTTGTGAAGTTGAAGTGGCATCTGCACTTCCTCAGTGCTGAGGCTCTGAGGAGGTGTGGGAGGAACTTGGGAGGGAGATCCCTTGCGATATTCATATTGATGGGTTTGTGGAGAACTTGGAGGAGGGGTAAGGGGGTAAGACATAGCTGTATCTGTGTTCAGCCTAAGATGTGAGTATGCACACTGTTGGTGGGTGAAAGCAAGGAAGCAGAGTTCGAAAGACTTAGAAAAATTTGGCTGGGCACTGAACAGCTCAGGAGCACCATACTTCACTGAAGCTAATGATGGAACCTCCTCGAACACTGGAAACATACCTATCCATTACCCCCTGCTCTTCACTCATTGACAGAGTCTGGGGATCACACTGCCCAGTACCATGAGAAGTCAGGTTGGATATATGGTCAGTTGAAGAACACACTTGAATGAATTCAAGATGATTCGATATCAGAAGAATCAGGAAACAAATATCCACTGGCCTTTCCAAAGTTGTGCAGAATGGAGACTGGGCAAATTTCTTGCTGAGAACCTCATGCAGGCTCAAATCAATACTTTCCTCAAACTGGATTGGGTGAGTTCTGATACAGTTTGGAATGTTCATATTATAAATTCCAATACAGCTGGATGGTCAAAAACCATCATTCACACCAGCATGCCAGCTCCTTGACTGGATGGACACCCTGCCATTGGGGCCAGGGTGGCAAGTAATGCAACTTGAGGTTGATGGCTATGACACAGGGAAGAAGATTGATCTTATTTATTGTGATGGACTAGAGGTTGTAGAGAGCCTTTTCAGAAACCTGATTTTTTCCCAGAATATGACTTTTGACTTGCTTCGCATACAGAGAAATGGAGAGGAGGAATACAGGGAATGGTTCACAGCACAGGAGGTGAACATGTATCCAGGTCAATCATTCTTATTCTTCACTGAATCTTCTAGTTGCTAATATTAATTAAGGACACTCTCCCTGATGGCATGACCCTTGTTCCTGTTATTGCTGCTTCAGACAAGACACCCATTACAAGGTACATGGGTGGGCTTGAGATGCACCCACTTTTCCTCACAATCGCCAATATTGATGCTGATGTCCATATGAAGGCCACAGCACATGCCTGGCAATGTGTGGCTTTTGTGCCCATTGTCAAATTTGAGGTTCATTCAGATTACCAGACAATCTTGCAGTCCCTGGCTCTGGCACAAATGTGTTGACATTGTTGCAGAGAAGCTGAAGCATGCCACCAATTGTGGAGAGTTCATGGCTGATCCATTTGGTGACATCCAATGTTGTTACACACCTTTGGTTGCATGGACTGCAGACCTGCCAGAGCAACAGCTGATCGCCACCATAAGTAGAAATGCATCCCCAGTCACTCTGGCAACTCTTGACAAATTTGGAGACTCAACTTGTCAGCCCTTCCACACAAAAGCCTGCACACTTGACCTCATCCACACTGTCAGTTGTCAAAAGAAACCTTGGGACCTCGATGTCTTCCAAAAGTTGGTGAAGGCTAATCACCTCCTCAGGGGTACATCTTCCATTTTGGCAGGACTGGAAAAATAGTGATGTTTGCTGTTTCCTCATCCCTGAAATTCTCCACATGGTCCACAAGCTTTTCTTTGATCATGTGTTAAAGTGGTGCAAGGAGGTGGTTGGGAGTGATGAACTTGACACCCTGCTACAAGGTCCACCACAAACAGTGTTGGGGTGCAGCCACTTCGCTGCTGGTGTATCAGCATGTGAGCCAGATGATGGGCCATGAATATCATGACATCCAATGTACTATTGTCCCTATGATTGCTGGCACTGCCCCTTCCACAATGGTTTGGCCTGTCTGTGCACTCATCGATTTTTTCTAGTCTTGCTCAGAGGCTGCTTCACACAGAATCATCAATTAGCAGCATGGAAGCATCACTCTCAGAGTTTCATTCAACACAACATGCCATCATCACTGCCAGGTGGTTGCTTGGGGAAAGAAAACTTTAACATCCCTAAGCTGGAGCTTTTGTTAAGCTTTGCAGATGCTATTAGAAGGAGTGGCGGTTTGATACAGTATAGTGCTGATGTCTTGGAGCATCTGCTCATTACCCATTGCAAGACTCCATTTTCTCGGACAAACAAGCAGCCCAGTTTCACCAAACAGATCATCTGCCTTCTCGACTGTGAGGAGCATATGTGCCCTCTTGGATGTGTACCTCCTACTTCACGAATACAATGAACCCTTGGTCAATGCTGCCAGCAATGAAGAAGATATTCTCTGTTCAGCAGATCCTACTTCGGCATGGGTCTCCCATGTTGCCCCCAGCGAACAATACCATTTTAACTCTCCTTGGCCCATTTGCAATATTTTTACAGATGGTATTAGCTCCAGCGGTGCCACAGCTGCACTGTCCATCACAATCACTCCTGACTGCACAAAACTCAGGATTGTTGATATTGGAGACATTTACATGCTTCCCAACTTCACTGCTAGGCTTGAGGAATACATTTTGCAGTGCACAGGAGGTTCAACATCCCACTCAATCTTTCAGTCATTCAATGAAATTATGGTCTGGCATAAATTCCATATTCAATGATACTCAGTATCCCAGCCTTCAACCATCATGCCTAGTCAAGTGGTTCAAGCTCAGCCTCTGTCAACTAGCTTCCCCCTCAGCAACTGTGACACCATCCTTCTGAATGTTGATGGGCAGAGTCAACACAATCCTGGTTGTAAGTTGTTCAATGCACATTGCCATATGACTAACACACTATTCTATTTATTCATACAGATCATGTTGCACAAGTACAAGTAGTATTTTGGATGACCCGCTCCCACCACTCTCAAGAGCCTCCTCCCCCCTTTTTAGCTCAGCCTCTCCTTTACATTCAGCCATTCCATATCATTGCAACACCAGAAAGTCAACTAGACACACACCTGTGGATGCTTGAGAGGGTATACTCCCCCTCTTTATGTCCGACATCAGCTTGCTGTGTTGGCTTTATTCTTCCTTTAACTGAAGTTTGTCATTCAGCAGACCTAGTGCCTGCATTTGGGAAGGAAGTAGACTGCACAGTGACACTGGCAACATTGCAGGAAGGTGTACCAATGCTTCTACCTCAACTACTATACTGGCAAGGAAGCTTTCAATACATTGTATGAATATAGATCAGTACAGATCTAGTGTAGGCTATCGAAATCAAGAGACAATTTTTTCAGTGCCTGGCAGAGTTGTGGATAGGCTGATTAGATACAATATTCCTGAAGTACTTCGAAGATAAGATGCATTGTGAACATTGCTGAATGGCAAACTAACCAGCCAATCAGCAGTCATCATTTGAGTGAATGTAACATTTCATTACCTGTCAAGGTCTCGCTTGCTAAGCTGTTCATTTCAGTGTTTTGCTGATGTACTTATTGTCAAAAACAGATGCTACATATGTACATAATACCTTGCACATTTACCCTATTTCTTAGATAATCTATCACATATTTGCCATGATTGCATAAATTCCTGGATGCATCCTGGTCCAGGTCTGAAAGTTGTTTTGTCCCCCAAGTTTTTGCCAGACAGGCTGAAAGAGCTGGGCCAACTAGATTGGGAATCATTGTTCTTATGGGGTGTGGCTGACTTATTGGGGTCCATTTCATGCCCCTACTTGAATCATGATGCATGACAAGCAACTTGCAGCAATCTCAGGTTGAAATGGACATTCAGTAAATCACTTTTGCTGGCCAGAGCTGTCCAGAGCTGTCCAGCACTGGACAGATTCCCTAGGACTACCAGCTCACAAAGTGGTCTACTGATGTGGACAGGCCCAAGGGACTAAAGTTAGAGCAACATATGTACAGGCCCATAAGTGTATTACCACAACATATGGGAGGGCCCATGGTGGGTAAGGATGTTGAAACATTTAGATAGGCCCATGACCAATTAAGAATACTGAGCTGCTGTAAGACATGGATGGGCCTGTCCTGGTAGGTTACACCCCTGTCACAACATATGGACAGGCCTGTCAATAGTAAGATGTACTGCTGTTGAAACATAAAGATGGGCCCATCACTAATATCATTTAATAGAGTCACAACATAAGGTCAGGCCCTTCAGTAGTATTATTTATATTGTTGCAACATATGGATGGGCCTGTCCACAGTAAGATGTACCTCTGACAAAACATAAAGATGGGCCCATCAGTAATCTCATGTATAGCATCACAACATATGGACAGGCCCTTCAGTAGTATTATTTATATTGTCACAACATATGGGCAGGCCTGGCCCCAGTAAGATGTACCCTGTCAAAACATAAAGACAGGCCTGTCACTAGTATCATTGAATAGAGTCACAACATATGGATGGGCCTGTCCACAGTAAGATGTACCTCTGACAAAACATAAAGATGGGCCTGTCAGTAATCTCATGTATAGCATCACAACATATGGATGGGCCCTTTGGTAGTATTATTTATATTGTCACAGCATATGGGCAGGCCTGGGCCCAGTAAGATGTACCCTGTTGAAACATAAAGATGGGCCCATCACTAATGGATGTGGTATCCCTGGCACCTACTGAACAGCAGCTTTCAATGGACACCATGCTGGCATGAATTGGAGATGATTTGAGTGACCCAGATCTCACAAGCTGCTCCCTGGATGTATTTGGCATTGATCAGACTATTTCCAGCCATCCACCCATCTGTATTGAGTGGGTGCAGTAACCCCACCACCCACTGAACAGCAGCTTTCCATGGACACCATGCTGGCATGAATTGGAGATGATTTGAGTGACACAGATCTCACAAGCTGCACTCTGGATGTATTTGGCATTAATCAGACTATTGCCAGCCATCCACCCATCTGCATTGAGTGGATGCAGTATGCTTGGCACCCACCCAACAGTGGCTTTCCATGGACACCATTCTGGCATGAATCAGATCTGATTTGAGTGACCCAGACCTTGCATGCTCCACCCAGGATGTATGTCCCATTAATCAGACTATTGCCAGCCATCTGCCCATCTGTATTGAGCAGATGTGGTATGCTTGCACTTCAGTCACCCCCCCCAGGGGACCTATTAGGTTCATATATTCTTATAGATGTATCCACCTAATAGGTGTTGACCACCTGGGTATTCCCAGCAACTGCTGGAGACTCTCCAGAGCAAGGTGTGAGACATGGACTTTCTCCAGGATTATTACATCTATAACAGAGTGCCTGGGGTCTAAATGGGGCTTTCCCCAGTGAGTTAATAGACCCATTTCCTGGGTATCCTGGGGGATTCTCCAGCCTAAATGGACCTGTTCCCAGTGCATCCTGGGGGAATCTCCAGCCTAAATAGACCTGTTCCCAATGCATCCTGGGGGATTCCCTAGCCTAAATGGACCTGTTCCCTGGACATCCTGGGGGAATCTCCAGCCTAAATGGACCTGTTCCCAGTGCATCCTGGGAGTTTCCCCAGCCTGAATGGACCTGTTCCCAGGGCATCCAGCCCAAACAGACCTATTCCAAGATGATCATGGGAACCTCCAGTTCAAATAGACCACCATCACAGCATGAAGGATCAATTGGAATGATTTGGAGTCTCCATGTTGCTGACAGGAGTGTGTATCACACCAAGTACCTATTTCCACAGAATCTGATCTGAGCACTTTATACAATATGAATATGTGAAAAAGCATGGCCATAGACCACTGAGGAAAGACTGGTGACATCTGATGGAGGGAGTAGAATATACTTGGTGATGGTGGTTGCCCAGGCACAGCAGACATATACTTTCACCATGCTTCCCAAGTCTTCAGTGATCTCCAGTCTTGGCCATTGCATACAAGTCAAAGATTGTCCAGGTGCCATTGGAATTTTCCCACCCACTCTGGTGATCCACAGGGTATGCAGCAGATCCTCCAGGCAATGCTTGGAATTTCCCAGCCAACTCCTGTCTCTAGGGGCTCTCCTAACAATGCTGGGGATTCTCCCACCAACTCTGGGGATTCTCCAAGCTATGTCCTGGGGATTCCCCAAGCACTGCTGGGGATTCTGCAACCCACCCTGGGGATTCTCCAAGCACTGCTGGGGATTCTCCAACCCACTCTGGGGATTCTCCAATCACTGCTGGGGATTCTCCAAGCATTGCTGGGGATTCTCCAGACAATGCTTGGGATTCTTCAACCTGCTCTGGGGATTCTCCCACCCACTCTGGGGAGTCTCCATGGTATACTGGGGATTCTCCAAGTTC